TGAGTAGTCAACAGATAGTGGGTGTGGGTAGTCAACAGATAGTGGGTGTGGATAGTCAACAGATAGTGGGCATGGGTAGTCAAGTGATAGTGGGAGTGGGTAGTCAATAGATAGTGGATGTTGGTAGTCAACAGATAGTGGGTGAGTGTAGTCAACAGATAGTGGGTGTGAGTAGTCAACAGATAGTGGGTGTGAGTAGTCAACAGATAGTGGGTGTGGGTAGTCAACAGATCGTGGGTGTAGGTAGTCAATGGATAGCGAGCATGGGTAGTCAACAGATAGTGGGTGTGGGTAGTCAACAGATAGTGGGCATGGGTAGTCAACAGATAGTGGGTGTGGGTAGTCAACAGATAGTGGATGTGGGTAGTTAACAGATAGTGGGTGTGGGTAGTCACAGATAGTGGGCATGAATAGTCAACAGATAGTGGGCATGGGTAGTCAACAGATAGTAGATGTCGGTAGTCAACAGATAGTGGGCATGGGTAGTCAAGTGATAGTGGGAGTGGGTAGTCAATAGATAGTGGATGTCGGTAGTCAACAGATAGTGGGTGTGAGTAAACAAAATAGTGGGTGTAGGTAGTCAACAGATAGTGGGTGAGTGTAGTCAACAGATAGTGGGTGTGTCTAGTCAACCAATAGTGGGTGTGGGTAGTCAATAGATAGTAGGTGTGGGTAGTCAATAGATAGTGGGTGTGGGTAGTCTACAGATAGTAGGTGTGGGTAGTCAGCAGATTATGGGTGTGTCTAGTCAACAGATAGTGGGCACTGGTAGTCAACAGAGAGTGGGTGTGGGTAGTCAACAGATTATGGGTGTGGTTAGTCAACAGATAGTGGATGTGGGTAGTCAACTGATAGTGGGTGTGGGTAGTGAACAGATAGTGGGTGTGGGTAGTCAACAGAGAGTTGGAGTTGGTAGTTTACAGATAGTGGGTGTGGGTAGTCACAATGACAATGAGAGACATAATCAGATTAACATAACATGCAACATTAATTCTGAGATGTCAATCTGATGGCAGGTGGTAAATAGTTTAATGATGACAAATGGCACACATCTGGTTTGGTATTGATCACTCTGATCTAAATTCACAGGGATGAATAGAGAATTTGGTCAAATTAAAATCAATTGAAACAGGTGTTGAGTCACATTTATTTGAGTATCATTTGGCCTCAAACAGAGGATTGGACCATGACCATGCATGAATCCTGTGGTTGAGTATTGAAACTTTCACAAATGATAGACAGAATATAACAGAACATGACAAGAACAGCAGTATAATGATTATACATTTTTTAGGTAAAAAGAAGAAAACATTTCACCCAAATATCAATTTTACATCTTGAGAACGTTTCTCCTACTGATACTCCTTGTATCTCAATTTTCAAATTACTTCTAGTGAGAACCCGTGAAGACCCGGGGTAGAATGGGTTTTCAGCAACCCATGCTTGCTGTAAAAGGCAACTAAGTTTGGCGTAAGAGGCGACTAACAAGATCGGGTGGTTAGGCTCGCTGAACATTGCATGGATTGATGCCCATGATGTCAATCACATGATTGTCTGGTCCAGGCTCGATTATTTACAGACTGCCACTATATAGCTGGAATATTGCTGAGTGCGGCGTAAAAATACCCGGTAACAAACATCTGAAAATTTATTTAAATGACTGACAGTCTATGGCATTTTTTGTGGACACATAAGCGTATCCAAATGGATGTCATAATCAAGGAGATTCTTGCCAAATGATTCGTGCTGCTTGTGCTAACATGGTTTGTTTATGGTTTAATGCCACACTCAGCAATATTTCCGCTCCATGATGGTGATCTATAAATAATCGAGTCTAGACCAGATAACCGAGTAATTGACATCATGACCATTGATCTACTTAATTAGGAAATGATGACATGCACCAACCAAGTCAAGGAGGATGACCACCCGATCCTGTTAGTGGCCTTTTACAACAAGCATGGGTTCCTGTAGACTAATTCGAACCCTCATCTTCACAGGGTGGCTAACATGGCGTGCAAACAATGAACATATGAATGTGTTAAATATGTAATTACTGTGAGTGAGTGTATGTGTATGGTTTTATGCCGTTTTCAACAGTACTCCAGCAATATCATCATGGCAGGGGACACCAGAAACGGGCTTCACACATTGTGCCCAAGTGGGGAATCGAACCTGGGTCCTGAGTGTAATTTGTATGATGAGTGACAACAGCATTAGACTGCATATGAATGTGTTTATATGTGGGCACATTGTAGGTGTCAAAGAATGGATTTGTGTAAATATATGAACTACGTGCTTCAAACATTAAAACTCCTATAATTGGTCTTTCTTGTCATTTACAAGTATTTCACTTGGCCAATCTGACAATGCCTTTATTGTTCATTCTGAATAGAAAATTTGGGTGTTTTTAAAAAATCGTCTGATTTAGTTTGCCACAAGTTGATATGGAAGTTCCGAATAGGCTGGATATGTGGTTGAATCAAAATATGCTGTTGACATTATTTCCAAAGCTCTGCCATTAGAACATCTAACCTTTCATAGACTAGATCTAAGTGTTGACAAAAATGTTACGTTTTGCAACTGATGATAATCGATAAGTAAACCTTATGATTACAAATCTGAATGATCTCAACAAACAATTAACTGTAGCTGATCATACCAATACAATCCCAGTTAGAATGGGGATGCTTTTGGACATGGCTGACGCCAATTTCTTGACATGCATATCCTTTAATATCTTTGAGATTTTAAAATTATTGGCCCAGTATCGATTTTAGATGGTTAGTCTAATCCTAAACGCAAGAAACTTCAAACTTTTAGTTTTCGGTCACAGGATACAAATGCAATCAATTGATGCAAAAAGCTATGAGTAATTTTACACGACAGCTTACTTACATAACTGTAAAAAGATGGAAAAGACGATATCTGTTCGGTGTTGCAGCGTTGATCTTTAGCTTCTCAGAGTCGTCCACATCATCAGCCAAACTATCTCAAATCATCCGCGACGAAACGCAATGAGTTATCTCCCTTAGTAACATCGCAGGCTCTTTCCCAGCGCGTGACGCTTTCGTTACACATGCAGTAGTGCAGAGACTTCCGTGAACAGGCTATCGCTGTGTGGAGCTTACTTCAATCGGGACAGCTCGGTTTAACTCGGCAGATACCGTTTCGTTTGCTGAAGTAAGCTTTTGGTCCCCTCACGCAAAAGCGTACATCTATGTCTACATGTACGTCTTCGCCTCAGCTTAATACAAATAACGACAATAAACATAATCATTCCTTGTCGTGTTGTGAAAGGCAAGTCCTATATTTTTTTACACTTATTAAAAGGAAAAGTCAAGCTATTACTTGTCTACCATATTGTCGAATTTATACTAGCCTAGTGGTTAAAGCGTCACGCCGAAGACCCGGGTTCGATTCCCGACATGGGTACAATGTGTGAAGCCCATTTCTGGTGTCCCCCGTCGTGATATTGCTGGAATATTGTTAAAAGAGGCGTAAAACCATACTCACTCACTCACTCACTCTTACATGTATCGATATCATCTTTCATATTTGTGGAAGTATTCTAGCTCTTCTGTATGTACAGAAAACGAATATTGGTCCGATGTACAGATGGACGAGATGTAAACAAATATGAATAATATTAATCAGGTATATTGTTTGTTATAGATATAGGCATTTAAAGAAACAATTTATTGACCATATGTCTACATATGAATGGCGAAAATATATTTAATTTCCCTTTAAAAGGGATATATTGCTATATTTATGTTTTGTTCACAAGTTTTAGTGCTGATGTTGGGAGGTTTACCATCTTCAATGATAGACTATATCTGTGTGTATTATGATAAAAGTATCTATATTTCCAGACAATTGGGTCGTTTTAGAACTTGGATTCTGTGTTAAAGCAGTGTTATCATGTTATAGTGAGTTATATTTTCCTCATGACACAGAGTGACTGAGTGAGTTGGGTTTAACGCCGCTTTTAACAGTATTCCAGTTATATCGCGGCGTGTCAGCTTAATGCGGGAGGAAAGCCCGAAGTGATGCAGGTTTCAGGCGTTTACCGCTTCGGCAAAACCCACGAGCACGGGCATAGTTCTGACAAACCTAGGAACATAATCTTGGCGGACCGGGATTCGAACCAATCATAGGTTTCTGGCGTACGTGCCCAAAGGACGCAACTCTGTACAGCGAATCGCGGCGCCTTTTACGACTGGGCCACCCGTGCCACCCTCGTGATATAGAAGAGTAACAGTCCTGGCAGTCTGAAGAGCCACACAAGCAAGCTTTTCTAAAGTAGAAATATTGCGAGGTAAATAGATATGAAACTGGAATACTGCTTATAGAAAATAGATTACATCCTCCAAATATTATTGTCATTTTAAATAAAGGTATATATATATATATATATATATATATACACACACAGGAGGAGGGGGGGGGGGGGGGGGGGGGGAGACTCTTTTTAAACTATATTATATTTGTTTGTTTAATTGTTTGTGAATTAACACCGCACTTAGTATTATTCCAGCTCTTTGACGGCGGTCTGTAAATAATCGAGTCTGGACTATACAATCCAGTGATTGACATCATGAGCATCGATCCACGCAATTGGGATACGATGACATGTTTAAACCAATCAACAAGCCCGACCACCCGATCCCGTTAGTCACCTCTTACGTCAAGCATAGTCGCCTTTTACGACAAGCGTGGATTTCTGAAGACCTTTTTTACCCCGGGTTTTCACGGGCCCAATATTATGTTTAATCATGGACAAGGTATATAATATATATTTGCAAATAAAGCTGAGTTATCTCAAATGATTATCATAGAATAATTCTTATAAATCAGAATAAATTATCAATGGCATTATGTGTTCCCTTTAATTCATTACATTAAATTATTATAACAGTCATGAGAGCATGCTAATCTTAAGTACGGAACTAAGAATATGTTGGGTAGCTTTACTTGTGACGTCACACCGGAAGACCAATCAGGCACGCGCTCCCCTGGCAACGTTGATAGTAACTGGATCCAAGGCGTACCACCATAATGTTCTCAGCTTCTCGCTTTGTAAATAATTAAACATGCCATAGAAAGTAACGGAAACTTTCTCAGACTTTCAACATGACAGAAGCAATGCAAGGATTACTGGCAGATGCCAAAAAAGGCAGATATTCCAGCATTCGTGACAGTTTGTCCGAAGATGGTGAGTCTACAAGGATTTTTTGTCAACACTCATGAGTAAAGGGAGCACTTGCTAGGGTCAAATTATTAGAACAATAACTTTTTTTATTGTATGGAAGTAATACCGATTCTGTTTGTAATAATTTCAGATGTTGCCAGTGTCTGGGAAAATGTATCGGCATTTATTGACAAGCAGATGTCACAACAAAAGGTGAGCCATGAAATATTCTTGTGACAAGCAACATAATATATGATGTTCTGGATGTTCTCTGGTCTTGTAGCACATTGAAATTTATATTATACATTCCGATTGTTGAACAGCATGTATTAGTTCATTCCAGGAATAATTGCTAAGATGTATACACAATATAATCTAACTGTTTTATGGTAAACAAATTTGTTAAGTTGCACAAAGACTTATGATGTGCTTTGAGTGAATGTCATTGGTACCACAACAATAAATACTAGCCCTATGTGTTTTGTTATTTTTCAGGGTGTACAGATACCTGTTCTGGGTACATTCACATTTTCTCAGAAGAAATTAGATATTGGAAATAACAAGTTTGTTCTGATACAACGACCAGTATTCAATATCTCAGAGAAATTTGCCCAAACTCATGGACTACAGTTCACAAAGTATCATGTACCAGGTATGTTTTGCAATTGAAACTGTATGACATCGAACATAGACATAGTGATATTCTGCACTATGAGTGATGCAAATTGTCACATCTTTGATCTTCAGTCTATTATGAATAAAGTGTTCACATGTTTTAGATTAATCATCACCTTTAGAATACATTACAACATCTTCTTGTGAGGATGATCACTGCCGTAGGTCACATGTCACAAAGACAAGAAACCAGTTTTTGTAAAAATCTGTCGGATGTGAACTCGCTACCTTCGGATTGTTAGCCCGACAGTTAACCGACTGAGGTACATCCACACTGATCCCAATGCCATTTGGCACACTCGTTTCATTCCGTAATCTACAAATTACTGAGTGGTGAGGAATGAGCCGATATGGTGCGAACCGAAAACGGCGTCAGGCAGTGACCTTGCGGGTGCGCATGCTTGACATGGTTTTTTATAATTTGTCAGATGATTTTTGTGACAGAAAAGCGTGGTAGGGAACACTGCAAGGATAATGTGGATCATAGTAAGGAACGAGGGAGGAATAAACATTTTTTAAATTGCCATGCTTACTATAAATGCCGGGAACGAGGCTGAGGTATTTCTAGATTGCAGCGTAGTATACAAAGAAATAAAAATGAACTAGGATTCTCACTTGAATGCAAAATAAAATTTTATTTCAAAATTTTCATTTGGTAGTGATGCAGCAAGCGTGAGTCAGCTTTCGAATCATTACTGAATAAACATAGTTTGTGAAAGTGGCTTCTATGAATGCTCCAGGACACGTTCCAGTCACCCAAATATTCGACACTCAACCATTTCATCCTGCTTTCTCAACATTTTTGTGTGAAGAATATTAGGAGCTGCTATAGAATCTATGATAGCCACTAAACAGTTACCTAACCCTAATGATCATAAAGGGGTGATTGATCGTAAAAGGGATCCAAGGGCTAAGGATAGAATTCCTGGTAAGCTAACCTGCCCTAACACCAGCGACATTTGGATGTGTTCATCACCAATATAATATACCTAATAAACTGCATTCCTCCACATAATAATGAAAATTAATGAATTGAAAAAAATAATATATGTATATTAGTTCCCATTTATAATCATTTTAGCCAATTGAAAAAAGAAAAAAAATATATATTGAAAATAAAAGTGCTTAATAAACTGGCGTTTTCTATAAAATCCGCTGCCACAGGCTATATTTAGTAAGCATTTATTAGAAACTCTCAACATCGCTGGTCTTATTCAGTGGAGATGCTAGGTCACTGAGAAGAGCTTATGCACACTCGATGACCCCTGACGTCACAGGGCATTGTTTCGCCGGTGTGACTGGCAACAAATTACAACAAATTACGTCATAGGGTATTGTGACCTGTTTGAAAAGTTTGTGGTACAGTATTCTAATGGTAGATCAAACATGCCGTATTCGACGTAATAAGCGCCCAGGGCGCTCTCAAAATTAGAAATAAGGGGCTCTTATTAGAATATTATTTTGGTGGAAAAAACAGAGTTGAAAGATAAATTTCGTGGTTATGCTGACGGCCTGACTGTTTATATACGACAGATATATTTTTCCCGAATTTAATTGCCAATAATTAAGGGTGCATATAACACACGAGTGCGTATTATACACGAATAAATAAGTCTTGCGTAAATTGATCAATCGGAAGGGGTGCTAATTGGGATTGTTCACTTGCCAATATATTAGCAAATTTCGCCGTGGGCACTTATTAGAGCGGGGCACTTATTACGTCGAATACGATATGTGTTGCTATAAAATTAATAAAAATAGGATCAGCAGTAAATATCTTCTTGATTTAAAAAAAGAAGTATATACCTTACTCATATGAGATTTGTTAGATTGATCAACAGAGGTGTGGGCCAAATAGTAAACATAACCATTTGTAATGAATTAAGTAAATAATTGCATACACTGGAAAATTGGGGAGTGTATTGATAAATAACACCTTCTATTTGCAAGTTAACAGTTCTTGATTCAACATTATCATGATAATGCATGCTGACAGCTTTTGTTAATTGAATTTTACTCACCAAACCCACTGAATTGCTTATTAAATGTTAATTTTTTTGGCCCTTCCATTCTAAAATATTGATAGATAATTGTGGTGTACAGATATGTATGTATTGAATAGGATGTATCTTTGTTGTGTATTAAGGGTGTAATGATACATTCATTGGTAACTCTAATATAATATATGATGATAATGTGTATAAAAATGGAATGATATTTACATAAGAGAAAACACATATGAATATCAAATGCAATAAAGCAACAACAATTTATCTTTTTTATTTTGTTTGCCTCCAGCTTTATGGTCATGAATATCCAGCAAACAGTAATTAAGATTGGTCCAGCATAACCATCATAAATCAGTACATGCTTTAATTCACTTGTCTGTTTTGATACTGCCTGATTGTTTTGAGAAGTAAAATGTTCCATATTAGGGCTGGGACCAGTCCAAATTTACTACCCGGGTACCCAACCCCCTATTACCCGACCCTACCCGGGTATCCACTGTAGGTCTCAGGAGATGTCTCAAAATGTCCGATTGGGAACATTTTTAGCATAACCCTGGCAAAATGTATTTAGATATTTGTATTAAACAATCTGGTCATTCATACACTGAAGTTGAATAAGTTATATCTTTATTCAACCATATGAAAAATCAGAAGGAATGGCTGCACAGTCAGAAATTTGGACATTAGTGACTTGTAGTGTAACCATAGAGTTCAAAATAATTTTTGTCATTAAACAATAGATCACATGACTAACCACGGGTCCTGGTAGTCCTTTGGGTACCCGGGTCCTACTCAGTACCCACCCGACCCAGGTACCCGAGTTACCCGTCCCAGTCCTATTCCATATTTTACCAGAATGCCTTGTCTGACGTCTACTTGTTCATTTTGACTGGCATCCTTTGCAACCCCTTTATTTTTTCAGTATATTTTATAGCTTGTACCTGATTTTATAGTTATGATCAAAGGAATTTATTTCATCTTCCCGAGGCAAGGGAGTTAACTGACTATTAAAGTTATTAGAGTTATGTTTGGCTGGACTAAAGAGTCAATGCATAGTCCAACCAAAATCACGTGGGGAAATTGACATCTGGTTTGTAAACTGCTGTGAAGATTTTGGCCAATTGCAGGATTTTCAAGCATCTGTACCGTCAACTTAGCATTAACAGATATTTTTCAAATCTTTTCATGTTTTTAATGAAGGTGCTAACATGATTTGATGCAATTCGCGAAGTAAGACCCATTTTGTTACAGTATAGAGCTTGATTATCTGTCAGATCGTCTTGACTGGGTGCCACCATTTTGTTTGAAGCAAATGCAGTGATGTGAGAGATTGAATCTGATTGGTCAGTAGGAGGGACATAAAAGGGACACACCTCGTAATAGCCACTGGTGGCACAACGATCAAGCCCAGAAATTCCAGACTAGTTTGGCAAGGGTGGAAACTGGACTTTTACAGTCAGTTAACTCCCTTGCCTCAGGAAGATGGATTATCTATGATCAAATCTAAGCGCCCCTGCCTGAAATCTGGGAAAAAAAGTTATTTGTTTCAAAATTGGAAATATTTTAGGTTCTTATTTTCTTTTATACAAAAACATTTTATTTTTGAATTTTAACATAGCATTCTTCCCCTATAATGGTCCTGTTATCAGTGAAATATGAGTCACCTCTACTTAGCCATAACATTAGTTTTAACTATAACAGCTTGAACTTGGAAATAATTAATTCCAATTTGGGAATTTTTGCTGACATATGTTGCAGACTTGGGTCCGAGTATCAGCCTCTGAGTAGCTTTAGATAAATCCCTTAGCTATTTTGCTGATTCAATCTGTTTTGTCTCCTACCAGGTCAGATCCCAGTGGTGCCTCTTAATTTTGCTGCTCTGTCATTTGAAACTCCATTTGATCGTGACACTGTGGAACGTTGTGTGAAGGAAATCCTTAATGCAGTATCCCGAGCTGTTGGTGCCAAAAGAAATGTTGAACTTACGTTTACTGGAATAGGAAAATTGTCTGTTCGTGAAAACAGAGTGAAGATGAAATTTTTCAAAGAGTTTGTTCGGCAAATGGATGGATCAGGGAAGCTTGTGGATGCCCTACAAAATGTAAGTTATTTATTTACAATCCTTTTGATTTACGTTTTAAGGGTGTTTCTTATTAAAGTAACAATGTATTTCAGATAATGTATTTCTTTTCACTTGCAGCAAGAAAGTTTTCATTGTAAGCAAATCAATAAAAACTTTCTATTGATTTTAACTTACAAATTCGTAGGCTTACTGTAACTTGGGATGTTTGGCTTAAGTTCATATTACATGTTGATAGAACATCCACACTTTTTGTATCATAACAAGGAAGAAACCATTCTCATTAAAATCTGATCTTAGTTCTCGCTATCACTAAACAAAAATCTGAGGACATCCCATTACGGGTCACGTCAGAACGACCTTTCATCCAACCAATCAGAGCATCGCTTACCAGATCCTGAAAGTGACAGTGTTTTCGAATCATGCAACCACCATATATTTAACACAGGGTATTCTGAATGACAGCTGCCTTTTGATTGGCCAATGTTGATTACTTGTCAGTCATTTCATTGGTCGGTCAAAATTTGTGAAAGGTCGTTCTGACGTGACCTGTAAAGGGATGTCCTCAGATTTTTGTTTAGCGGTAGCGAAAACTAAGATCTGATTTTAATGAGATTGGGAAGTAACAGATCTCTTGATATTACAACTGAATTCAGGAAAATGGTAGGGTAATTTAGGTTGATGATTTTTAATACGTTAGGTTATGCTGCAGTTGACAGACATTCCGCTTGTTGGTAAACCAACACAAACCCCTGGATCCATTCCTGTGGTTCTTGCCATCTCAAATTACCCACCCTTGATTTTCATTAGCTGGTTTGGTTTGCAATGCTACTCAGTCTAACGGACCAATCAGAATCATAAAGTGTTGGATTGTCAATATCAACACTATGGCAGCCAGTCCCATTGATTATGATGGAGTTACCGAGAAATTCGGCATTGAAAATCTGACTGACACTCCAAAGAAAGAACTTTAATATTGTTTTGATAAAAATAATCGATATCTTCGTGTCTATTAAAACTGGTCGTGGCAAGTCTTCCCTTACCCATTTCCTTTTTCCTTATCTCGACGTTTGATTGGTCGGTAAAATGTCAATGAAAATCAAGGGCGGGTAATTTGAGATCGTGAGAACCACGGAATGAATCCAGGGGTTTGTGAAGGTTTAATGAAATGCAAGCCCTGGAGATATATACAGGATGCATATAGTCAAAAAGGCTGACAGTGAATGATTCAATAGATGTATAGGACAGCCCCACAATCTGATGAGATTCCCATATTAGTACATACATTTCAGTCACTAGAACAGACAGAATGGGTAAGTCAATCCTTAACTTTACATTTCATAACTGTAGACCTACTGTAGTTAGGAGTAAACTACTGAGCTTGCATTTGTTGCTGTCAAGTCCTTGGAGTTATATGGTGTATATACTGTAGATATTCCCCCCATCACAAAGGTGGAGGGCAAGTGATTGGATGCTGTCCGTTCATCCTCTGTTCACTCATTTTGTAGGGAGTGTCTATTATCTCTATAAATTGGTTGAATATTATAATTGAAGCATTATTTACAAACAGGTCTATTTGTTAATGTTTATGATTCCAAAGTATTTCCAGCTAGATCAAGGGCCACAAATTTGCCACCCATTTTGTCATGAGACACATTTTGTGTGACATTTTTACATCGTATCTGGTGGATGATAATGGAGTTGGTTTTAAGTCATTGTCAATTTTTAAAGTTAAAGCGGGGGGCACGGGTGTCCCAGTCGTCTAAGGCGCTGCGATTCACTTTGCAGAGTTGCGTCCCTTGGGCACACCAGAAACCTAGGATTGTGGGTCGAATCCCGGTTCGCCCCGATTATATTTCTAGGTTTGTCAGCACCATACCCGTGCTTTTGGGTTTCATCGAAGTGGTTAATGTCTGAGACCCGCATCACTTCAGGCTTTCCTCCCACAATAAGCTGACACACTGCGATATGACTGGAATACTGTTAAAAGCAGCGTTAACCCCAACTCACTCACTCACACTAAAGTTAAAGCACTGGCATAATGTTATGATACTACGGCCAAAAAAGACGTTTTAGATGTGTGCTGTTGCCTAACAGTAAAACGCATGCTTGTCTGGTGCCAGTATTGGTTTATATGTACTCTTCTGGCAAAGGAAGAAAACAGCCTACTGCATCTATTAACAAACACATATTTTTTGTTGTTAAGATGTTATCCGTTAAAAGGGTTTTGACTTAACTTGATTATTTGTCAAATGTTTTGGTCAAAAGAAAGGAGCTGGTGGACGCATTTTGCCACACGAGGATTGAAGTTCCTAGACAATATCACATAACCAATTAACATCATTAATTAGAAAAGCATTTAGACACCTCACCTTCACTGTGTTTACTCAGTGGCTGAAATGGCATTGTATAGAGATTTCTGTTCACTCAGTATCTACATGGTGAGCTACAGGCCTTGGCACCTGTACTTATTGGTGGTATTTTTTTAAGAAGTAATTTTTTTCTATTGCTTGATGTGTGCATGACCAAAGAATATACATTAAAGAGAATAGTTTTTCTTCTCTTTTTTTAAACCTTGGTAGACATGGTCATTTTACTGTAGATAAGTACTGACTTATCATCAAATTACAATTTATTTTATTTTTAATTGTAGAAAATTAGGCAGTTATTTGTTACAGTTAACAGGCACACTTTAACAAATATTTGAACAGCTAGGTGAAGTTGTTTCTGTTAGTATTCCTGTTTCCTGGGTGCTTTTCCATTTGTCTGCAATCTCGAACCAATCCTTTTAATCAAACTTACTTTAATTCATCTGGTAAATAGTAAATCACAGGGTTAGAGACTAACAGTTTTCGTCAACTAGTCCTTATAATTCTAAAATATAGCAAAACCCTTAAAAAAGGCTAATTGCTACTAGTCCTTATGATACCTTTAGCATTGGGCAGTTTGGCAAGGACTATAGGACTAGTGTCAATTTCTAACCCTGAATCAGTTGTAAATCTTTTCCCATTTCACTATAATGGCATTCTCAAAGACATACACATGAATATAAATGGCACAACATTTGGGTTTAGTGGGGAAATTTCAAGATTCTTGAAATGGCTGCTTGCACACTGGTGGCAGTGATGATACTGGAAGAGCTGGGGAGGAACTTGGCAATGCCAGCATCTGCTGGTCATGGGGTTGAATTCCAAATTTTCTCTGGTTATGATCGTTGGTCTGTCAGCTTGTGAGTTTCACCAGAGTGGTCAGCAAGTCATTGAGTCATTTCCTCCATCATTAAGATGACACTGTCATATAGCACATACTGAACCACTTGGTGATTTTCTCTCATATCAAAGGCAGATCCAGAGTGGGGTCCAGGGAGTGCGAATCCCCCCTTTTGAAAACTAAAGGTAGTGGAGAATCCCCCCAACACTGAGAGAGGATTTTCATATTTTGGACTCTCCCCTTTAAAACCAAATGTAGTATGTTGTGGAGAATCACCCACCCACCCACTGAGAGAGGGTGTTGGACCCCACCCTTTTGAAAATGCTGGATCTACCCTTGCGTATTATGGTGACACAGTGTGATGTAACTGAGATACTGGTCAAAGCGGTCACTCACTCATTAGCTGACCTTACTTGTCAGAAAGAAAGTTTACTGACACTGACTGAAACTGTGGCTGGTTGCAGACTGCACAACTGCTCTACCTACAGACTTGACACAGTCACTACATCAGGGGGGATTTTGAAAACAACTTCCATGGTTTCATGGAAAACTAATGCTTCTAACATGCCTTTGTGTAGTACGAAATTTATGATCTCAAAATGAAAATGAACCTTTTCCATGGCATGTAAATGTGTTGTTTAATTGATATGTGAATATATATCAACACACAAGCTGTCAGCATTAGTCCTTGCCGTACTGCCCAATAGTTAAGGTATCATAAGGACTAGTAGAAAATTTGGTATTATCGGTTTTGCTGTATGTTATCATTATAAGCACTAGTGGACTAAAACAGTTAGTTTCTATCCCTGACTATGGTTGCTCGGTGTTAATTTTAATTCAGCTCAAGCTGACCAACACTTCAGTTAATTGTTTACTTCAGATGTAGATGTAAACACAACGTGACTATGCTTGTCGTAAGAGGCGACTAACGGGATCGGGTGGTCAGGCCCGCTGACTTGGTTGATGCATGTCATCGATCCCAACTGCATGGATCAATGCCCATGATGTCAACCACTGGATTGTCTGGTCCAGAATCGAGTACTTAGAGATCGTCATGATACGTATAGCTGGAATATTGCTGAGTGCAGTGTTAAACAAACAAACAAACAAACAAACAATATAAACAAAACTTTAGATAAAATAGAGGGTTACTTTAAGTTATTGTACAGCATCTGTACATCAGGTTCAGCTGACGATGTTAAACAGTACTGGCATGAAAGTCGACCATGGCCTTCAGACTTCAATAGTTTGTCAAAGCTGAATATTTAATTTTGTCCTAGCACCAATTCTTGCTTTCTAGAATATTTTTTATCACAGATCATAGTTTCCAGAAGATTTCTATAAAATCTAGCTGTGTAGTTTGTAAACCACAAAATATGGACTAGTTAGTTGAAGGATACCATGTTGGAAGCATGTTTCCCATGCATTGTTAGTCAGTGATATCATCTCAAACTTCTAAATATAGTTGGGCTGTCCCAAGAAAACTTACTGTGTTGAAATCAAACTGTTAGCGTAATGTTTCCTATGTATGTGATTAGTTATTAGTTAGTATATTGTAAGTTTGTGTTACAAATGGCTAGTCAAAACTTAGTCAACACTATTGATGCGACCCAGCGAAGATGACTACTGTATTTTCTTGAGTATAGTCGCACCCAAGTATAATGCACACCCCATGCGAATTCAGTATTTTGGGGAAAAAAATCGGATATCATGCGCAGAAAAAAATTACACCGCACCACTTTAGCAAATGGGTGATAAGAAACTTGGTCAGTACAAATTTGAAATTTGAGATACAAAATCACCAGACATGTTGTTCTACCGATTAAATTTAATTGTTTGTTCTGCTAAAGATTGTTTTACATCCAGGGGTTAAGATTACCTTGCATATTTTCTCATAAACTAAGCCAAAAACAGCAATCAGCTGTACACACGTTTTCTTGGAATCTCCCGGTGATTCGGTTAAAACTGACCCAATGATATAACTTTACATTTCGTAATTAATTCCAAGACAAAGTTTAATTTATTTTTGGTCATCAGTGTTTCCCAATTTCTTCGTCCCTGGCATCTCATGAAAACAAACAATTAGTAGTGGCCATGCTTCGTCATGTTTATAACACACATGCTTCGCAACACTCAACATGAAGAACCAATATGTAATATGTAACCAACTCCTGGCTCATGTCACTATATGCAATCAAACAAAAAACATTAGCCTAGTCCTCCCTTGATACATATTGCGTATTGGTTCCCTAACACATTGCTGAACAATATCTGTACTGATGTTAAAAACTTCTGCATCGTAACTGAAGGTAATAAAATCTCACATGGTTACCTCCCTTAACATACACACTGCCTCACCCCAGTTCTGACTCTTTTCTCCTCCTTTTGAGTTTAACCTATTCCTTAAGCATTTAGAATGTAATGACAAAAGTTTTATAAAATGAATTAAATTAGGTCTTTTTAATGAAGGGATCCTTCTTTATATAAAGTAGGATTTTTGGAACATGTTTTTGCTTTTTAAATAATTATTTTTCAATACAAACATCATGAATACATGTTACCATTTGTTTTTCATAAGGTGAGTTTACACTTCTTTGATAAAAAAAGGGCATAAAATGTGAAAGAACAGTTCTGAAATGCTATAATTGAATTTCAACACAGTTTTGGAACGTGAACCTATGACAAGCAGAATTAGCAACCTGACTGCATACTGAATTAGTGACATGGACAATAGTATCTCAAAATTCAAACTATAATTGGGTTATTCCTTCTTAACTTTGACAATTAAAACAGAAATTTGCTTGTGAAACCAATAGTAATAACATGTGTTGACTTTGTTGCAGCGCCCAGGGACTGTGGATTCCGTCATATCAGAACGGTGTTTCTCTCGACCTCTAACCAGCAACACCCTTGTTCTTCCAAAGTAAGTTGTGTAACCATGGTGATGTGATTGTTGTGGACTTGAGAGTGACACTAATCAGCATTTATTCCCAACACAGTCCCTGGACATAGGGAACTCTAAAAAAAATCCAGAACTAATTGTACTAGACATTTTACTGTTTCGCATCTTTAACAGAAAATAATGATGGTATATATCTTTGATATGCTCAGAATTGACAGAATTTACAAAATAATGCTCCAACAATGAAAAAGTTAATACTTTTCTAATTTGAATCTTAATGTTATAAATAAATATTATTTAAAATAACTGTCTTATCAAGGGAAATGATAAATGTTTCTTGGGAATTGCCTGTATAAAGATGTAAAGATCTTTTTTATTATAAATATTTATATTTGAATTAAAATACATATTTTATTAAAAAATGTTAATATTTATAATAAAAAAATTATGAATTAGCAATCTATTATCCAATTGTCAGAAGGACACCATCAGCACTGATTACTTTGAGTCCATGTGCCTTATATTTTACCCACATGTTTGGGTTAGGGTGACAACAGTAGTTTAAAGTTTCACGTCAGTTTTGAGGTGCAAGATATATGAACAAATGTCTGTCCTGACTACCTGGGTGGAACTAACACTGACAGCTGTGAGTGCTATATTGGACTCTCTGTGATAACCCCTTGTGACAAGAGTATAGAGGGTGACACTGGCAGTATATGCTGGCCTATTGTGTGTATATATATACAGGACATGTATTGTGTGTAAGCACCTTGTGTTGAATGTGTGACCCTCTGGTTTCAGTGGATCTGGTAATCACAGGTACTATTGAATGTGGCATGCACAGCCTTCTCTTCTAGCCTTGCTTCAGTGTGCTGTGTCTATATCTGTCTGACCCTGGGCATGGTGGTCACTTGTACACTTCTAACAATACTGCACATGTATACATGTCATTTCTCACCACTTCTATTGTGTCTATATGTGGGTGATATGGTTATATGATAAATTTATGTTATGCCTTTTGTTTCTATCAGTTATGATAAATTTGAATCGTGTGTGATATAATTTTATGATTCCTCTTCATTTTTACACTGTAACTAAAATCAATTGTATTTTTTTTTAAAGGTTTTTATTCTTTTCCTATCTTTCTATTCTGTGTGGTATATTTTAATATCTTTTATTATTGCTCTGTAGATGTGTATTTTTCATGAAACTGTGATGTTGCTGAATATTTCTTTTGGTATTCGATGATCATGGCGATGTGTATCTTCCTGAGACATGGAACTGACCATAAAATTCCAGTTTCCACCCTTGCCGAACTAGACTGGAATAATGGAGTTAATTTTTGGCTTGGCTAAAGAGTCCATGCATAGACCAATCAAAATCGCGTAACATAATCGACATCCATTTCTGAACTGCCTTGCTGATTTCGGTCGATTGCAGGATTTGCAAAACATGTGTACCACCAACTCAGCATCAACAGATATTTTCCCCAAATTGTATCATGTTTAAATCAAGGTGTTTTGCAAAGTGAGACCCATTTTTTTTACAATATCGATTTTGATTGTCGATCAGATCGTCTTGACTGGGCGCCGCCATTTTGTTTGAAGCCAATGCAAGTGATATGAGATATGAAATCTGATTGGTCAATAGAAGGGACATAGATGGGACATAACTCATAATAGCCACTGGTGGTGCTACTATCGAGCCCAGAGATTCCAGCTTAGTTCAGCAAGGTTGGAAACTGGACTTTTATATAGTCAGTTAACTCCCTTGCCTCAGGAAGATTGGACATATGTAGTTTATGTATCTTTGCGAAATCTAGACTGTTAATACATACAGACATAATTACATGCAATTAAAAAATGTGAAACAAAAGAGAGACAATTTGACATAATGAATAACAAAAGAAGAAAACATTTCTAAAATATTTTCAATAGAATCACCGCATCGAACAGCAATGCTTTGATAGCAGGATGTCTTGAACCAGTAGCAGAGACTGAAGAGGGTGTGGTGGATACTCTTGGGGAGGGCCCTGGACTGATTGGGGACCCCCTTGACCAGGCCCCTGACCCCCTGTCTGCCGAGGTGGGAGGGGATATTCCTGCGGATGTCCTTGCAGCAGCTGTAGCAGAGGACCAGGCTATGGAGATCCAGGCTGCTGAGAACATGGCCCAGTCCCAGGCTATAGTCACAGAGGAACCCACGGTTGGCGACATCTACACCGCCACCGCCATCGACAACATCCTTAATGACGGTGATGAACAGCCCGCTGTCAACACTATGACCAATGCTGGACTTGGACCAGACACTTCTGATGGTGAGTTGTTTGTTGTTTAACACAGCAATCAGTATTATTTTAGTGGTATGACAGCGGTGTCTAAATAATCGAGTCTGGTCCAAAGAATCCAGTGATTGATATCTTGAGCATCAATCCACCTGATGGTGATATCTGTGTCATTTCTCTGACAGATGTTTCATAGGCATAAGAACTCTTTGTCATCAAAACTTAGTGGATCCAGGAATGACCATGTTGTCTGTGCAGAGTTACATCCCTTACACAGGCCAGAATCCGATGATTGTGGGTTCAAATCCCAGAGTCCCTCTTATCATGATTCTTGACTTGTCAGCACCATACTCATGTTCATGGGTTTCCCTAAAATGCTTCATCACTTCCAGCTTTCCCCCCACTTTAAGCTGACCTTCCATGATGTAACTGAAATACTGTCCTAGTCAGCATAACACCGTACTCAGTCACTCCAAACTTGGTAACATCTTGTGTTTGCCCCATAAGATAACATTTTTTGATGATTTAGGTATTATATATAGTATTAGTGAAACAACCTGAAGCCTGAATTTTGTCTGAAACTCCATTATTCATGGTTCGAGAAGGGATCTAGCTCTGCTTGCCTAATTGACAGTGCAAGTTGGGCCATTGGAAAAGTTCAGTGGTCAAAGGCTTGTCTAAAGTCCAAGTTCCATTCAAGCCCATGACTTTTATGATTAGATTGATGTCTTATATTGGCAAAAGCAGTTGTATTGGCTCTTGAAACTTTATTTGAGGGAATTGTTTTGCAAAAGTCAGTTACTAAATGTGTGTGTTACAAACTTTTGACCCCAAAATTCATGTTAGTAAGTCGAAAATATAACTATAATTCCAATTTCAAATGTATCTTTATGATTTCCTCTAGATGTTAAGTAGGCAGAGGAAAGAAAGTAGAGACGGGAGGAATAGGAAAACAAGTGTAAAGTTACCTCCCTTTGTTATGATGTCACGATTTGTCATTCAATGTGTTTTATAGATAAATTTTCAACAGCTCTTATTATACTATTTTAAATAATTAATATTGGTAGTGACAGTAGATGATTTTTTTAAAACATTTAACATATTTCTGGTCGGTGGCAATAAAAAATACCCACTGCTCTACATGTATTTTAATATTGTTCACGTTAAATTTTATTTGGAGTCAGCAGATTCATAAACCAACTTTTACAAAATGTCTGGCCTAACACTTGTGTACAAATGAGGTTTAACTACCCCGGTATATAAGGAGACAGTACTGTGAGATTACAAGTTGTTGTAGTTATCTGACCTGTTAGCCTGCAACAACTGACAATCCCTGCATTGTGTGCCTGTGTTGTTAGTGACAGTGAGTGACAAGAAGATTGTTATGTTGGCATTGTTTAGATCACATGACACATGAGGCAATACCCATCTCTCTGATCAATACAACATGTCGGAAATGTCACCATAACCATATATAGCAACCTGTGCATTTTACACTTTGATATTTTTTCTCACAATTTCATTGATCTAATATCACGATTATTGGTATTAACTATTATGTAAATCTGTCCACGTATTCACACCTTTGAGATAGGGGCAGTCACAGTAGGTATTAACACCTGGTGAGACTTAGTTATGTAAGTTACATAATAAACAACAGTAATGAGTTGACTGTGTTATGTCATAATGCCATCACCATCTCATGAATAACTGATTGGTGTATTCAGAATGAGAACATATTGATGATATGGAAATATGACCTAATAGGTACAATATAAGCCAGTTACCTATACTCTGTCCTCCATCGCTACATGGCAGCCACTTTACTTCTGTCCTTGTTCACTCAACGCTGGTGCTATCTGTCTGAGACTTTCAGGACAGTAGGAAACGGTGAAGTAGGTCCGTGGCCTCAGTCATCACTAACCACTTCAGGTATTGTGTTTTTTCGGATCAATAATTAATGCATCTCTTCCTTGGGATTCAAAGAGAACATACAGCCTAATTAAATATTTATGAATTTTGTACGAGAAGATAACGAGACTACCGCTGTTGTCATAGTATCTGCAATGTTTGGTGGCATCGGATGTGACTGATGATAGTCGACTGAGGGAAGGGAAGTGACAAGTTACTTTCTATTTTGTGAACGTGAGATAACTATGGCTTTCTACGTAACAAGTGAGTAGTTTATGGTTTGCTTAAGTCAGATATCTGTTGTGTGGCAGATGATAGGGGATAATGTTGGCTTGAATATTAATTCTACCGTTCTTTTTTGAGATTTACTTATTGTTAAGTGATGATTTGTGACATATATTTTTAGTGTCACTATTTTAAATGTAACAAGTTAATAGATTATAGACAAAGCACACATTATGGAAACAGTGAAATAGAAAGTGTCATTCCATATTTTTTTAGGCGACCATGTTAATCTGTGTTAATTATGAATTGATTATAATACAGGATGCTTTCACCTTGATTTATGTTTTAAAAAGGCTTTACCCCTGGTTCAGAATGACAGGTTAGTGATTATACAGTTCTAACATGATGGGTACTGGTGTCCTGTAGCATTGATTCTACAGCTTCTGAATCTTGGAACCCATAAAAATCTCTTATTTTAACATTAGAGGTATGACAAGGAAGTCTTGATGTTCATGCTTAATTTTGAACACTATTCTCATGATGCCACAATTTGTCCAGTTCATATTTTGGTATTACAAACCCTCATGCCATAAAAGCTTATTAAAAGCCTGTGTACATTGTTGATTTCATAACTGACACTCTTTGGAGACTTCATTAGTACCAGAATTATTTCTATCCGTAATATCCTTGGGCATAGTAAAAATGTTTTGAGACAGCAAAATAACAAACAACAAGTCCTGTCGGATGAATTTTATTGTTCTCTATCTCTGTTTTAGAGGGAGGCACCCTAAGAATTGTTGTATTTGGCTTGGTTTGGTTTGTTGTTTAATGCCGCACGAAGCCAGTCTAACAGTTTAAGTGGTGATGGCCAACCTCAGAAACCAGTCTAACAGTTTAAGTGTTGGTGGCCCCCTAAGAAACCAGTCTAGCAGTTTAAGTGGTGGGGGCCACCCTGAGAAGCCAGTCTAGCGGTTTAAGTGGTGGTGGCCACCCTAAGAAACCAGTCTAGCAGTTTAAGTGGTGGGGGCCACCCTGAGAAGCCAGTCTAGCAGTTTAAGTGGTGGTGGCACCCTAAGAAACCAGTCTAGCAGTTTAAGTGGTGGTGGCACCCTGAGAAGCCAGTCTAACAGTTTAAGTGGTGGTGGCCACCCTAAGAAACCAGTCTAACAGTTTAAGTGGTGGGGGCCACCCTGAGAAACCAGTCTAACAGTTTAAGTGGTGGGGGCCACCCTGAAAAGCCAGTCTAACAGTAGTTTAAGTGGTGGTGGCAATCCTGAGAAGCCAGTCTAACAGTTTAAGTGGTGGGGGCCACCCTGAGAAGCCAGTCTAACAGTTTAAGTGGTGGTGGCCACCCTGAGAAACCAGTCTAACAGTTTAAGTGGTGGTGGCCACCCTGAGAAGCCAGTCTAACAGTTTAAGTGGTGGTGGCCACCCTGAGAAGCCAGTCTAACAGTTTAAGTGGTGGTGGCCACCCTGAGAAGCCAGTCTAACAGTTTAAGTGGTGGTGGCAATCCTGAGAAGCCAGTCTAACAGTTTAAGTGGTGGTGGCCACCCTAAGAAACCAGTCTAACAGTTTAAGTGGTGGGGGCCACCCTGAGAAGCCAGTCTAACAGTTTAAGTGTTGGGGGCCACCCTGAGAAGCCAGTCTAACAGTTTAAGTGTTGGTGGCACCCTGAGAAGCCAGTCTAACAGTTTAAGTGTTGGTGGCACCCTGAGAAGTCAGTCTAGCAGTTTCAGTGGTGGTGGCCACCCTGAGAAACCAGTCTAACAGTTTAAGTGTTGGTGGCACCCTGAGAAGCCAGTCTAACAGTTTAAGTGTTGGTGGCACCCTGAGAAGCCAGTCTAACAGTTTAAGTGTTGGTGGCACCCTGAGAAGCCAGTCTAACAGTTTAAGTGGTGGGGGCCACCCTGAGAAGCCAGTCTAACAGTTTAAGTGGTGGTGGCAATCCTGAGAAGTCAGTCTAGCAGTTTAAGTGGTGGTGGCCACCCTGAGAAGCCAGTCTAACAGTTTAAGTGTTGGTGGCACCCTGAGAAGCCAGTCTAACAGTTTAAGTGGTGGGGGCCACCCTGAGAAGTCAGTCTAACAGTTTAAGTGGTGGTGGCCACCCTGAGAAGCCAGTCTAACAGTTTAAGTGGTGGTGGCACCCTGAGTAGCCAGTCTAACAGTTTAAGTGGTGGTGGCCACCCTGAGAAGTCAGTCTAACAGTTTAAGTGGTGGTGGCCACCCTGAGAAGTCAGTCTAACAGTTTAAGTGGTGGTGGCCACCCTGAGAAGCCAGTCTAACAGTTTAAGTGGTGGTGGCCACCCTGAGAAGCCAGTCTAACAGTTTAAGTGGTGGTGGCACCCTGAGTAGCCAGTCTAGCAGTTTAAGTTGTGGTGGCACCCTGAGAAGCCAGTCTAAACGGTTCATGTCCTGTGTCTACTTTGTTGGGCATCTTAATGTTTGCAGTATATCTTCCAGCAAGTATTTAGTTCAGGGATCAGCGATATTGGCACTACTCCTATAGTCCTTGCCAAACTGCCCAATAGTTAAGGTATCCTAAGGATGAGTAGAAATTTATCCTTTTTAAGGGTTTTTGCTATATGTTGTCATTTTGAGGACTATTGGACTAAAACAGTTACTGTTAGTTTCTATTGCTGGCGTATACACAAGTGTTTAGTTCAGGGGTCAGCGTATAACATCAGACATCTGCTCATCTTTCATTTTGAAACTTATTGATATCTTGGTGAGGCTGGGAGGATCGATGTGTTGGATGTGCTGTTTCTTAGCAGTCTTGAGTTTATATTGATTTTGATGCAACACAATAAGAACTTCAACGATACTGGTATCATATAGTCTGTTAATATTTAGTACAATACCATTTGCTGGTGTATTGTCCCCACAGGCCTTGCAGTAAATGCCTCTCTACATGTTATCTTCATGAGGGGACAGGAGGCCTTTCACAAGCTAGATGGCCAGACTGGCTACAGGCAAATATGAAATGTAACCTTGTTTTTGGCATTGACAGAATTTAAGGATATGAACAGGAGGCATGTTTGTGTTATATATATTTAAACTATGGAAAAGGAGCAAAAAAGGACCAGTTTTTTAGTAAATCCCTGGATCAACCTGGTCCTATTTTCTGCTTGGAAAAGGTACATTTGTCAGACCCTGAGATTCTAATTTCTTTGGGGGAATTACATGCTCGCAGTGAGGAAATAATGTTTTCATAGTCCATAAGTGTCGATGTTGTTGAGGATTCTAAGATACCATGCATGAACTAGAGTGTGACAACTCTGACAAGGTATGAAATAGACTAACTTATGGCCCCTAACATAAAATAATAAAAAATAAATAAAATAACACTAATTATATAAGGAAACTCCAAGTGTTAAAGACTAGTGAAGTCTCTGGTGTTCAGGAGGTGACAAGGAGATGAGTATAGGCTGGTACTGTTGAGAAGGAAATGAAAATAGAATGAGGGGGATATTTTTATTAAAACATTGCCCTGGGGTCTGTAACAGAGGTTAGGAAAGATGCCACAAGTACTCTAATATAGTATTAACTGTCAGGCAAAAGAAAGGATTCTATTGAAAATTGGATTTGACAACAAAATTACAAAAGTTAGTAAAATGTTGCTAGGCTGAAAACAGTTGCTGAAATACTGTAGACCTAAACACCGTTGTCATACTTGTATCAAATACACCGCCATCAAATAACTATTTCTTGTTTGTTTCATTTTTAGCCTCCATCAAACATAAGTGTATACCGTATTCGAGGTAATAAGCGCCCTGCTCTAATAAGCCCCCATGGCGATAATTGCTAATATATTGGCTAGTGAACAATACCAATTAGCACCCCTTCCGATTGATCAATGTACACAACACTTATTTATTCGCATATAATACGCACTCGTGTGTTATATGCACCCTTAATTATGGGCAATTAAATTCTGGAAAAATGTATCTCTCGTATATAAACATTTCAGGCTGTCAGCATAAACCACAAAATTTATCTTTCAACTCTGTTTTTTCACCAAAATAATATTCTAATAAGAGGCCCCTATTTCTAATTTTGAGAGCGCCCTGGGCGCTTATTACGTCGAATACGGTACTTTCTTTTGCTTGGCAGTTTATATTTTCATCACAAACATATAAGCAATTAACCACATATATTTGATAACCCCCAAATGTTCTTGTGCATCCTGAATATTAGGATGAGATAGGACCTATGAATCAAACTAAGTTGTTTATAGTTAAAACACAGTAATTGATTTCCCTCCTTTGTCAGATACTGGTACAAGACCGTGACTAAAGCTTGTTGTTGCTTTGATTTTATCAGACCGCTTTCCCTAGCAACATAGTTGATGTTGGCTGTAAGTGAAGACAGGTACCTGGTGTGTGTGTGTTGACACAATGGATGACTTGACATGCTTCATCAACTCTCTTCACATCTCTCTTGGATGCCAGAACGTCATGGCAAATAATCAATGGTGCCAACAATGGCCCAGTCTGTGTATTGGGATCCATTTGTTAGATACATATTGTTGAAATATACTGAATATTGATGCTTAACATTCTTATATGAGAGTCGATTCGTATCTCAGTTAACAGTTTCTACTGGGACAGAATCATTAAAGATGTCAGATTACTTTGTAAGTTTATATATACTACTTGAAAGAAGTTAAAGAGTGTCTGATTCTTTCACATTATTATCTGTCTTGACATGACCGATTAACTGTAGTAATATGAACAAATCAGGTGTTTAACGTCTTTTCAGTAGTATATATCTTTTAACTGTGTCATATTTTATATGGGGAAAAATGCCAAGATATTACTAGTATCCCTGCACAAGTAGTGTAAAGATATTGGTTTTTACACAAGGGAACTTCAAACACAGTGATCAGCTAAAAATAGATTTAACGGAAAAGACTGTCAGAAGTTTCAATAAAGAGAATTCAGTACACAGAACATACTCTTTCAGTAGTTTATATCTTTTAACCGTGTAAAGATATTGGTTTTTAGGCAAGGGAACTTCAAACACAGTGATCAGCTGAAAATAGATTTACAGGAAAAAACTGTCAAAAGTTTCAGTAAAGAGAATTCAGTACACAGAACATACTCTTTCAGTAGTTATATCTTTTAACCGTGTAATATTTTATATGGAGGAAAATGCCAAGATAGTATCCCTGCACAAGTTGTGTAAAGATATTGGTTTTTACACAAGGGAACTTCAAACACAGTGATCAGCTAAAAATAGATTTACAGGAAAAAATTGTCAAAAGTTTCAGTAAAGAGAATTCAGTACACAGAACATACTCTTTCAGTAGTTATATCTTTTAACCGTGTAATATTTTATATGGAGGAAAATGCCAAGATAGTATCCCTGCACAAGTTGTGTAAAGATATTGTTTTTTACACAAGGGAACTTCAAACACAGTGATCAGCTAAAAATAGATTTACAGGAAAAAACTGTCAAAAATTTCAGTACACAGAACATACTTTGTGTTTTAGTTTCAATATTATATAAAGGAAATTGAGCTTTTAAACAAGCCATTTCTTTATCAAAATATGCTGAACTGACATTGGCCCTTGAATAATATATATCTCCTTGCAACTAAGCTAGCACCTTTAACTGTTTCAGAGTTTAGAAATGTACCACAAGGTGATATCATTATGAAATATGATTTCATTACAATGGATGAGATTCCAATTTCCATATGAATCCATAGTTCACAATTCAGAACTTGAATACAAAAACATTTTCATGAGTAACTCTGTCTAATCTTGATATGGAAATGGCAAATCAAGTTAGAATTGAGTTCTCATTTGGCAGTGCCTGCTCTGTGGACCATGCAGACGCTGTGTTTGTTATTGTGAGCTCACATGACGTAGGCAGGGAGACAGTACGTTGAATATGGATTCCTAGGCCCAACTTACTTCAGGAATGTTTGTGTGGGTGAAAAAAGTTGATGAGTTAGCAAATTGATTATGCAAATATGTGATGATTTGAGGAACAACAAAAGCAGAACAAAGCCCACCCTACATTGTCTGATTTGGATCAGCACGTCAGAATGAAATAAAATATATCAATCAGGGTGTGGGCTGGATTGAAACTTTATGTAATGTGGAAATTGTTCAGCCAAAATCCATACGTTACACAGGGGTAGATTTAACAACACATTTGTGTCTAGCCAGCAGGGCTTGCTCCTTTCAAAAGTTACTGGCCCTTCTCCAAACTAACTTGCACAAAACTAAATGTTTGAGGCCACGACTAAGTTACCCAGGAGGCTCTGAAAAGTTTAGAACTCCTCACCCCTAAAACATCATTTCCTGCACTCTGAGAATAAAACTAGGCTTCCATTTAACTCATTTTGTGATTATTTTATAAGCAAATAAAGATGTTGTTGTTGTTGTTGTTGTACAGAACATTACAAAATGGCCTATGGTTGTGTCATTCTACCAAGATGATCTTTGAGTTAACCATTCACATGACCTCATTCCCCCTAAATATACTCCCACGAAATAACGTGTTTCAAGAGCAGTCTCCAATTAAAAAAATTAAACATACACAGAAATTTTGACTAGCCAGCCCGGCCATCTACTTTATGTTTCAGCAAGCCTTGCGTAATTTTGACTAGTCATGGGCCAAGGGGCCAGCGGGCCAGCAGTTAAATCGACCCCTGTTACATGTCATCTGCACAATTTCAACTTGTTTGTTTCAAAGTGTTTGGAGTGCTGTAGTATCAACTTTGACACACCATTCCAATCTTATTCTAGCGCCCCAACGGCCTGTGGGTCCTGTACGAACTTTGTCACGGATGGCGATGCCGCTGCCCAAGGCTAGTGGAGTGTGTCTACTGGATGATCTACAAATAGTGTCAACGCGGTCCTCCAGACCACCAACACCGCCATACCTCGCCAAGTCCTCTCCTGCTCCACTACAGGACACGTGAGTAGAATTTCTGCTGATTAGGGCGTCACATCGATCCCAATAGCTTTTCTTTCAGTTATTTTTTGTAACAATACACTTATTTACAACCATTTCATAAGGATATTTCCTGGTTTAAAAAAGTACTTTATTTCTTGTTTAAAAGGGATGTTTTACGAAACTATTAAACTGTTGCAAGCAGTAGACCTATTCATTCTCAATTAGCATTGTAACATTAATCATTATTAATTCTATATTTTCCTAAGATATTTATAACTGGACATCACTTTATTAAATATTAACATTGTGTTACTGTATCATATTCTAATTATCTCTTCAAATGTCGGGAAAACGTCTTATAAAAGTCAACTATTTACAAGCCTAGTTATCGTTCAATGTTTTGTTTTCAATTAAGAAAAAGGTAAATACTGACTTGCGAATTTGGGATAACATTGAAATTGTTACTTTTAACTTATTATCTATATTTTGTCATTTATTGACAATTTCCTTCTGCGCTGGCATCAAATGATCTTATTTATCATATAAGGTAAGAGCTAAGAAGCCAGCCCGCCAAAATCCAGCCAATCACAAATCGCAACATACATCATGTGACGATCACGTGTACAATATTTTTTTCACCCTGAACATGGCATGTATTACATTGAGATGTAAATAATTTTCTGTTCCCAAGTTGACAATTCTTATCTCAATGAAGCTTCAGCGAATCAGCATCAAATTTCAAAGTTATTTTATTTGATATGCGATCACATTGGTTTTCTTGGTGATCTTAGTGACTCTTTCATTTTGTATACGATAGGATAATTGCCAAATTTATTGAACCGATGTATACCATGTAGGTATTCGAGCACGAGCCTGGTCTTACCCCTCGGGTATGTGAGTCCATATTTTTGGTAGTTTGGGATTTAAAAGGAAATTTGTTTTTGAGTTCCATGGCAAAAACTTTGACATGGGCTGGAAATGGCAGTAGTGCTTCTTTCCGGAGCAGATCTTGAAAACCGTACAAAATTTCTTCAGTAAACTTGGCACATAGATAGGTCTACTGGTGAACTGCTGCCTTTTGATAGTTTGGGATTTCAAAAATAATAATCGAGTTTCCATGGCAACAACTTTGCCTGAAATGGGGGCAATCTTCACCAAACTTGGCACATAGATAGGTCTAGTGGTGAACTGCTGCCTTTTGATAGTTTGGGATTTCAAAAATAATAATCGAGTTTCCATGGCAACAACTTTGCCTGAAATGGGGGCAATCTTCACCAAACTTGGCACATAGATAGGTCTAGTGGTGAACTGGTGCCTTTTAATTTTTTTTATAATTTCCATGGCAACAGTATATATTCACACACCCAATTCACTCACTCACTCATTCCTCGGTACTGCAGGTATATGCCTCAGCCTCCAGTGATGGACAAGCCAATGTCCGCTGGTCAGTTAGCTCCTCTGGAGAGAGGGGTCACCTTTGACCAAACTGCCATGGACCGAGCTCGCCAACACAGTGCAAGTTGTGGCCACCCTCACGCTGGCCAGGAGCTGTGTTACCTGTGTCATCAGCGGGCCCGCCGCAACATCCCTGTGTCATTCGGGGAGGAGCGTCGGCGTCGGGAGGATGAGGAGGACAGATTGCTGCAGCAGTACCAGGCCATGAAGGATGCGGAACAAACCATCTCGGAACATGTCAGTACAACCACATTTATACAGCAGCGTTAGTGCCCTCAGTAGGAATTCCGGGTCAGAGTTGGTCCCCGAAACCTATGCTTGTCATAGGAGGTGACTTTATGGATTGGGTGGTCAGACTCGGTGACTTGGTTGATTGCGTGTCATCCTACCCTGCCAGCATGGCTCATTGCTCATAAATACCATTAACTGGATTGTCTGGTCCAGACTCAATGATTTACATGTTGCCGTTATGTGACTAAAATATTGTGTGTGGCATTAGATGACAAACAAACAAGAAAAGCATAAGAAGCAAGAAGTCCAGGTGTTATTGTCATAACCCTAGTGTTAAAAATAAAAGTTTTAGGGATTCTAGGGGCCAGGTTTGGGCTAGACTTTGGCACAGTCTGATAATGGTGTTGGGTGAGTAACTGAAACTGTTTCTTTTCAAAACTACATTTTGTTTAAAAACACCTTTTCCAGGAGAACAACCTGTCTAAGCGACATGACCTTCAGAAAATGGCAGCCTTCAATCTTGGAGTAGCAGATGCTACAATTCAGAAGAAGAAGGCGCGAGATGCAGATTTCCAAGTAAGTGACTCTCATCTGTTGGTGTGTGATCTACAGAAGTGATCAAAACTTTGGGCAACCTTTTCCAGATAGTCTTGTGGGAGTAGGGCAGGGCTCTGGTGTTATGTGCACCAGAAAGTAGTGTGAGTGTTCCCATGTGGGCGTTCCACATTACAAATGGTCGTTACAGGCGATTGAATTGATCAGGTGGTCAGGCTCAGCCACTTGGTTTACTGCATGTCATTGTAACCCGTGAAGATCCGGTGTAGAAAAGCTCTTCAGCAACCCATGCTTGCCATAAAAGACTACTATGCTTGTTGTAAGAGGCGACTAACGGGATCGGGTGGTCAGGCTCGCTGACTTGGTTGATGCATGTCATCGATCCCAACTGCGTGGATCGATGCTCATGATATTAATCACTGGATTGTCTGGTCAAGACTCGATTATTTACAGACCGCCGTCATGTAGCTTGAATATTGCTGAGTGCGGCATTAAACAACAAACCAACCAACCAAAGCATGTCATTGTACCCTGATAGCATTGAATGTTGCTCATAATGTCAATCACTGGTTTGTCTGGCCAGACTTAATTATTTACAGGCCGCTGTCAGTATCTGGAGTGATGTTGAGTGTGGCATAAAACAAAACCAAACCAAAACAGCTATTTTCCTGTTGATTGAGCAATTAATTCTCTCCACAGAGATCCTACATATTCCAGCGAAGACCCTTGACACCACCAAGGTTCCCTAAGCAGCAGGAATACTTCAAGGACTTGGCCTCGCAGGTAACAACACACACTGTTCACTGGCCTCAAGGCCAATGCTATGTTTAAAGCATGTCAAGTTTGGGATTTCTACACAGGTTCCACTTGGCATAAGTTCATGAATAGGTTTCTGTGATATTACAAGATAAATTCCAAATTGAAACACAGGTTAACACAGAAATGGTTCGTGCAGAACTAATTTGTGAAATCAGCAAATGAAAACACAAGATCAATTAGCAATTAACAAATTATATTGAAGCACAATCTTAGGTTTGCAATCACAAAAAGCAGTACAATGAGTCAAATAAGTGGCGGCAGCAGAAAGCTACAGGCCAATAATAAATGTCAGTGCACTCAGGATTGTACAGAGTTTGTCACAGTCGAATGTGTTGAAAGAGGCACATGCTCCATTCTCGAATCCTGAAAAGTGTTGGAAGCTAGCAGGAATTCAGTGTTTTCATATAGGTATATCATCCGCGCTTGCCTACAGATAAAACACAAGTCAGTTCGTAAAAGACCTTCAATCACCCTTGTGTCACTCTTTAATATATAGGTACAGCCCTCATGGTTTATTCTCCCTGCAGTGTTTTACTGTACGATAAACAACGATCACAAGTTGTTTGTTTCTTAAATAAAGACACCCTAATAACACAGAGGTGCTGTGGTTGAATGCACGGTACTGTGGCTACACTGGTGAAATATTCTGTGAACCTGTTGGAACAGTCCATTGCAGGTTCAGGTGTTCTGGTCAAATTTTACTGGTAAAATACTAGACTCATAGTGACAAGGGAGATACCTTTTTCCAGGTTGATGTGAAGGATCAGACAAAACAGAAGCGTAATGCAGACGAGGCCTTCTTCGAGAGACTGGAGCAAGTGCAGCTGGCAGAGGAGTGAGTACCAAACACTTCCACCATTTCAACAACACTTCCATCATTTCAACAACACTTCCACCATTTCAACACTTGCACCATTTCAACAATACTTCCACCATTTCAACAACGCTTCCACAATTTCAACAACGCTTCAATCATTTCAACAAAACTTCCATCATTTCAACAACACTGCCACCATTTCAACAACACTTCCACCATTTGAACAACACTTCCACCATTTGAACAACACTTTCATCATTTCAACAACACTTCCACCATTTCAAGAACACTTGCACCATTTCAACAATATTTCCACCATTTCAACAACACTTCCACCATTTCAACAATGCTTCCATCATTTCAACAACACTTCCACATCTTCAACAATACTGCCACCATTTCAACAACACTTCCACATCTTCAACAATACTGCCACCATTTCAACAATACTTCCACCATTTCAAGAACACTTGCAACATTTCAAGAACACTTGCACCATTTCAACAATACTTGCACCATTTAAACAATGCTTCCACAATTTCAACAATGCTTCCATCATTTCAACAACACTTCCACATCTTCAACAATACTGCCACCATTTCAACAATACTTCCACCATTTCAACAACACTTCCACCATTTCAACAATGCTTCCATCATTTCAACAACACTTCCACATCTTCAACAATACTGCCACCATTTCAACAATACTTCCACCATTTCAACAACACTTCAACCATTTCAACAACACTTTCACCATTTCAACACTTATACAATTTCAACAATAGTTTCACTATTGCTATGTTGTAATGTGCAGGGTGAAGTGTATGCAGTGTTCATGTAAACATGCTACGAGGGGCGTTCAATAAGTTTTGCAACTTGGGCATTTGTGTTTACACAAACAATGTCAACTTGTGGCAGGTGTGACACTAGTCATAAGTTACTCATAACATCAGGTTGACATGTGTCATAACAAGTTCCAGACACAACAATAAGTTAGATGTGATGGCTTCATTCACCTAAGGGTGGTCACAATCATGGATTCTCTCAAACATGAAGAACGCGCTGTAATGAAGTTCCTTACCAAGGAGGGATGCAAAGCAAAAGAAATTCATGATAGCATGTGGCAATCATATATGAATGTGGATTCGAACAGTTAAATCACCCACCCTACAGCCCAGACTTAGCCCACAGTGACTATTTCCTGTTCCGGCAAATGAAATCTGCCCTACGTGGAAGACGCTTCCAGGATGACGAGGATATAAAGGCTGCCACAGAGGCGTGGTTAGAGGGCCAATCTGCGGATTACTATAAAAATGGTATTAAAAGCTTGAAGGACAAATGGAATAAGTGTATTGAGGTGAATGGAGATCATATTGAAAAATAAACGTGCAAAAGATATTCTGCGACTTGGTCTTATATTGAAGTTGCAAAACGTATTGAACGCCCCTCTCATGTTGTAATGTGCAGGGTGACGTGTATTCAGTGTTCATGTGTACATGTTATATTGTAGTCTGGCAGCACAGAGGGAGCAGTACTTGAAGGACAAATTTGATCAAACCGATGTCTACAAGAAGGCTCTCGATACACAGGTACCATGAAACTGTCAAATAACCATCACATCACAACACCATAATATCACATGACACTGTCCTGTCAATGCTTCAGTCTGTGACAAAAATCTTGCATCTCGTGTCCAGAATTTGGACTTTGGCACCAGTGGGGATGCCAGCATAGAATATTGTTGAATCTGTCAAAACCGGATTTGTGTGGGAGCCCAAAGTTTAATCCGTTTTCGGTAGTGGTCTGGATAAGATCTCTTGATGGTAAAGTAACATTGTAAATTGTGGACTACCCGGACTAGTATTGATTAGTCAAAGTCTGGTTTTAAGAGATTCCACTCGAGGATGCCATTAGTCTATGTTAGTAGTAGGGGCGGTCAGGGAGCCTAGTGGTTAAAGCGATCGCTGGTCACGCCAAAGACCCGGGATTGATTCCCATCATGGGTACAATGTGTGAAGCCCATTTCTGGTGCCCCCCGCCGTGATATTGCTGGAATATTGCTAAAAGCGGCGTAAAACCATACTCACTCACTCACCCACACTATGTTAGTAGTAAGAAGCAACTAAATAGATTGCTGTGACTCTGTGACTTGGATCATTGTGTGTCATTGCTACATGATGACATAGAACATTGATCTCAATATCACTGGTTTGCACATATGTATAACCATTCAAACAAATCATTTAAATGCCCACTGAATGATACCACTGAACACATCAAAGACTGTATTGTTACATTTGACTTGTATGTTCCAGCAAAATTGTTATTGAGTACTTATACAGAACAAACAAAGTTAGGGATCATAAATATTTTTTGGGATATTGTAATGAAATTATGTGTTCACTATAAAAGAATAACCCCTAAATTGTTCACTTTTTTTATTCAATATATACTGTAAATCTTGATATAAATGTGTCTCCAAATTAATGCGACTGCTGATCCCTAGCCAAAAATGCGACTCAAAATCAATGCGAATCCCCCCACCCCATCCCCATTGGAATGATTCATATCCTTACCTTAATCCAATCAAACAGCAAATAGTACCGCTTAATCGCAGAGTAAAACACTTCTGTAATACAATGAACAATGTTTTCAACAACACACAGTTTATATTTTTATTCTGCTGAATAGCATTAAGGAAGTTCAAAGGCAATATAATAACTTCTTTGAGTGGTATTTAGAAGTTGGAATGGTAACTAAGACAAAATTGTTATGGATAAGCAACTTCTTTATAACAATTGGGCGACGTTTCGGTGTAGATTCTAACACCGTTATCAAGAAAATGATGTACAAACTAGGTATGAGCATGATATATAATAATTGAATCAACAACAGTTCACTGATTGGAGTGGTCAATGATGCTTCGTTTGACACGAGTGGGTAGAACTCTTGACCCCAGCAGTGATAACTCACCGGATGCCTATTGTATAATTCCTATTCTTTAATTGTCATTGTCATGTACTTGTTACAACTGCTGCTCAATAAACTGTAGTTTGTGTATATATTCAAGTTGGTATTTCCACTATCCAAAGTGAGCAGTGAGGCTGTCTTATTGTTGATAGTCAATTTGGAGACATACATGCGAAGTTTCATAAATGCAAACAAACACCACTCACATTTTTCGCATTTAATTCAAGCTCGTGTTAATTTCAAGATTTACAGTATGTTTGGGGGCAAAGGGGCTGAAGTAAACTGATCTCACCTACAATAACGGACGAAATCATTTTATGTGATAATTCAATTAAGTAGAATGGGTAAGAATCATATTGCCTATTACCAGCAGATTCCAATACAACTGTATTAATACTAGGATAATGTTGCTATTGAAATATACTATAAACCTCACATTCATGTTGCTTTTATATGCCTTATTGCATCTTGATTGCAAACTAGACTGGAATTTCGTGGCTGAATTGTAGTGCTACCAGTGGTTATTACAAGTTTTATCACTTGCATTTGCTTCAAACAACATGATTAAAAATATGAAAAGATTTGGAAAATATCTGTCGAGGCCCATTTGATGGTACACATGCTTTGTAAATCCTGCAATCTACCAAAGTTTGCATGGTATGTTGGGTTTACGAACCGGATGTGGATTTTGTTACATGATTTTTAACTTGACTAAACATAGACTCATTAGGCCAGCCAAAATATAACTCAGAAATTCCAGCCTAGTTTGTCAAGGTCTGTTAACTTGCCTTGAGACGATGGCCTGATTGTTGTGCATTGCTTTTAAGTCCTATGTATTTGCATGTTTGTGTGCTGCTAGATACACCTGCGGGACAGATTCCGCAAAAACGACGGTCTTCTCCGCTCTCCCGAGTATCCTACACCACGCTGTCCTCTCTTCTCTCCTGATCTCTCATACTCTCACCTCACTGTACCACCGCCTAATGTGCTGCGGCCATTTGCAGAAATAGCAGCCATTGAAAGTGCCTCTCCGTTTACACTGCCTATGGTACTCTCATGGGAACTTGATATCTATCTATCCTGCATATGCTTAACTTCGACTGTCACATGTTATCTTCCCAGTGTCTATTTAATAGCTGTGACATACCTGGTATAGTTCATTTCATGATTTTTGATTTGTATTCCTTGGTCCAGATCATTTTTCAACATAATTGTTTCATGCCTTACATTTTAATATCTAAGTTAATTATCCTTATTATCAAAACTTTAAGATTCAAAGTCACTGAGAAATTATTTTGAAAGTTGTTTGAATATTCTTTTCAAACATAAGAAATTGGTTTCATGAATTGAACATGACTGCTGTTGATAACATTTGGGTGTTTGAAGTTGAGTGTACTTGCCTTAAAGCACTTTCTCTTTAATTTAATTCTAATCTTTGGGTGTTCTGTTTGCATTCATCTTCTGAAGTTAACGCAGGTGTTTTTCTCTTGCACGTTTTTTGCCTTCTTCTTGTGATATAATCATTGTAGTCACCCTATCTGTACTCTATTCTTTCTCTAAACCATCGCCTTTTCCTTGTTGTCCTGAATGTCGTACTGATATACCCCCATGTGTTTCACCTGCTAACACGGCTTCATATTACAGCTGCGTTTCAAGCCTGTCCCAATGCCCTCCGCCGAGGCTGACTCCGAGGTGTTTGGGAAGAATGACATGAACAATGAGAAGATGGCTGAGAAACGACGACGGGCACACAATCTGTTCCGAGAACAGCAGGACTTCGTGGCACAAAAGAAGCGAGATGTCATCCTGAAACGTCTGTCTGAGCAGAAGGAAGAGGAGGAGACTCTGAGTCGTACCAGGAAGGAGTGAGTGGTTCACTGGGGCATATGATTATGGGAAACAAATTAAGCTTGTCCTGTGCTTTGTGGTTGTAAAGAAAGATTATGCTTCAGACTGTCAAAAAAAATATAAATTGTCAGCCATACAAGATGCTTTTTTGAAAACATTATTTAAGCTCATAGTCTTAATGAAAAAGATATCTGGTTTTGCAGATATAGCTGAAAAATATATCAAGTCTCTATGCAAAATCCCTCCCCCAAGCCCCAGCATATCAGATGATCTGTCCCTAAGACAGTGTTACTTGATGGTCCCGGAATAATTATTCTCATCAGTCTGGTGTAACATGATTAGAGGCAATAATTTGTCATGGACTCTTGGTTTGATCTCTGAAATCTTGAAGTTTGAAGTTGAAATGTAATTTTCGTCTTTTTAACAGATTGCTCAATGACAGAGCCAACCGTCACAACATGCGCTTTTTGTCTCGCCGCCGACTGGAAGATGACTGGTCTAAATCTGCAGACATGAAACGAGGAAGAGAGTTGGAGGATCGACTTCGATCTCTCAGTCCTGGGATGCTGGTGCATGAGCAGTGTGACAAGTATCACCGCTGTCGTCAGTGTCTGCGCCAACTTCGCAACTGTGGCGAGTCAAACATCTGGAGCGAGTCACGATACATTCCTGGATCACGACTCATGGTCTAATCATGGTCGGTGGAATGATTATCCCTAGTCTCTGTCTAGGTCTTGAGAGGTTTCGCTGCATCATTCTATTGCACCACTTGTGCAGGTCTTCAAGGAAAATTCATTTTATATCCAATGGCATTGTTTTGGAATGTTTTGACGGAATGTATTTTTAACACTGGTCTTCACTGATTGTTTTGCAAATTACCTCATAATGGTACAGGATTTGATAAGATGAGTTTTGCAGATCTCATAATTTGGTACAGATTATTTAATGGTACCTGGTCCAGTGGTGTTAATTGTTAGATGTTTTCGTTCAAGGCCGATTGATTCAACAGATTGTGATACGTATACTAGTTTGTGATGCCTTGATGTTGTGTTTGTAAAATGGCAGAAATACTTTTACCTGCCTGCTATGAAACAAACCATCTGTGATAACAGTATTATTTATAATCATATTGCATTCATGTACCTGTCCTGTGTTCTATATAGCTATTTTAGTTAACGTTTAACATTTTGTACATGTTGTAACGATTATACATTTATTATTTGCTGTGATACATTTCATGTACATACACGATCAAATACACTTAGAAATACACTGGAAATCTATTGGTTTGTATGATGTATTTTATTCTATTTTAAGTTTTTTTAATACATTTTCTATGTGATGGATTGGTTTTGTCCCAAAAAGCTGAATTTTCCTAAATAAATTTTCATTGCTAACCATGATACTGCTGATCTGTATGCAAATTTTGTGCATATTTAGTTTGTTTACCATAAACACTTATTTCAGTATGTGTATTTCTCACTGTGTTGTCTGTGAAGGCTTGAGTTAACATCATGAGTAATCAGAATGTCAATGTCTTGCATGATTTCTGTAATGTTGGAGGGTTTCGTCATTAACAATGTTGCCAACATTAAATCATGTACTTGTACACATGTGTGCGTGTTGTCTGTTGAACATGGTTTCAAAGTCTGGTCTGCTGTTGAGGCAAATGTTGATGTTGCAAGCTGGTTATCTTTAGGACTTAAAATGAAAGATTGCCACTAATGGAGATAATTTGCATGAGCTGAAAGAGAAGTTTCCAATAAGAAAGCACATATGAATTTGACTCTCAGACTTATTGAGAAAACTCTTCACTCAAGTGCTTTGTTTGTTGTTCAACGCCACTCTCAGCAATATTCCATCTACCATATATTGCTGTGTATAAGGCACGTTTTCGTACCTAGAATTAGGGGGCTTTCAAGGGGGGTTGTCTTATACACAGGGTTGAAGAGTTTTGATGTTTTTTCCCCAAACACAAAGACATTACTGTGAGCACTTAACACCGGAAATACCATCTCCTTCAATATTTCATCGAAATTGTATGTGAAATGATCGGAAGATCGCACATCTCAGTTATTTACAGCAACCATGGTCATATTACCGCTATTGACACCTTGAAACAAACTTTAGTGGAGAGAGAATGGATATATATTTATATCATAAATGCTATACATTTACTCGGCGAAAGTCATTTGTTGTAGTTTGACTGATATATGTCAACATAAAGGTTTTGTTGTGTAATATGGCAACCCTGTAAATAATCGAGCCTGGACCAGAAAATCCAGTGATTAATAGTGTGAACAACAATCCACACCATTGGGGTACGATGGTATGCTATCAAGTCACCGAGCCTGACCACCCGATCCATTTGGTTGCCTTTATAACACCAGCATTGGTTGCTGGGGATCTATTCTAATCTGGAATCCCCACTGGGCCTAAAGTGCTTTAGTATGGATCTCAGATTAGGACAACAAAGAACACTTTCACTTCAATAGTGCCAATGCAGTGTTGCTCACCAGGTACAATCCAAGTCAGCTGATAGTGTAATGTTGTGGAGTCTTCAGCCATCATGTAATGACTCAGGTGTGACCTAATTAACCAAGGGGGGCACGGGTGGCCCAGTCGTCTAAGGCGCCGCGATTTGGTGTGCAGAGTTGCGTCCCTTGGGCACGCCAGAAACCTTTGATTGTGGGTTCGAATCCCGGTTCGCCCCGATTATGTTTCTAGGTTTGTCAGCACCATACCCGTGCTCGTGGGTTTCACCGAAGTGGTAAACGTCTGAGACCTGTATCACTTCAGGCTTTCCTTCCACATAAAGCTGACACGCCGCGATATTACTGGAATAATGTTAAAAGCGGCGTTAAACCTAACTCACTCAGTCACTCAATAATTAACCAGGGGGGTAATGATGTCTGATGTGAGAGGCTTAAGTTACCGGTAAGTGCAGATGATGTAACCCCAACTTATGATCATTATCTTTCAACTAGATCACTGAATCTAAAAAAACTTTTAATCTGAATGCACTTTGCACAAGCTACCAAAATATCACCTCTCTGAGCCTTTCAGTCTTTGAGAACATGGTGGATAAACATTTGCCACAAATGAAGAATATTTTGTCAAGTCCATGCCATGAAAAAATCTGAATCCATGTAATAGTGACTGATCACTGACCTTGTGACATATTATATTATTGTGCACATTCCAGCAAAACATGGAGATGAGAATAATTTTTAGGCGACAGAATTAAAGTGAGGTGTGTTCAACGCTGCCCTTAACAGTATTCCAGTCATATCACGACGTGTCAGCTCAATGTGGGAGGAAAGCCCCAAGTGATGCAGGTCTTGGACGTTTACCACTTCGGTGAAACCCACGAGCACGGGTATGGTGCTGACAAACCTAGAAACATAATCGGGGCGAACTGGGATCCGAACCCACAATCATAGGTTTCTGGCATGCCCAAGGGACGCAACTCTGCACAGCTAATTGCGATGCCTTAAACAAAAGCTAGGCCACGCGTGCCCAGAATTAAAGAATGACATTATATGTTAAATCATACATAACCTTGTTGCTTTGAACTTGTGGAAACATGGAAAAAAGATCCGGGTTCGCGAAATGAGGGGAAATTAATGCTAAGTTGGATACTTGAGACTCCCAATTGAGTTCGAGACAACAAGGAGTTTGACACAATGAGGTTCGACTGTATTCCACTTGTCAAGGCTCGTCAAATACTATGTTTTTTTCCTAATACATGATATTTACCATCCCAGAACACACCATACATCCAACAAACCTGGGATGAAGTAGGTTCCCTGGAACAGCTTGGTGAACAAACAACAAGCACATGTAAATTGAACTGATATATTTTATTGTTTTGTCTACACACAAGATGTATGTCATGTTGGTGGATGGCATGTACTTGTGTGGGACTGTTTTATAGTAAAAGTTTGGCAATGTGTCAGTGAATGCCTGTCTGTACATGTACATACAAAAATGCCAGGGTTTTTCTTATGTACATATTAATGTTATGCGAGAGCCCACCCTTTAATATTTATCAGGCACTTGCCGGATATTTCCCCGACATTTTCAAAACCTAATCATGGCTTCAAAAACATTCTTGGCAGAGAAATCACCACTCACATAATGGAGTATTATTAGCACCATCATATTTAAACAAAGCAAAGACATTTTGCTCCTTTTCCCCCCCGAAAATGTATCTGTCTGGGCACCCAACTCCCTCACCTACTATCACAGATGGTGTAAGCCAGACAGAGTTATCTGCTCTTAACTCTTGCGGAAACAAATCGAGACATGTCACAACATTTCCCACAAGTTGCAACCCCACCCACGTCGTCTACAGTGTGAAACATGCACATCACAAACAGCATGCTTCGACCACCTACAACCATGGAATGCTACAGTACCAGAGAATCTTGTCTATCAAATGTCCCAAACCCAGAAATTGGCAAGTCTTTGGTGTAAATGGCTAAAGAACCTGGGCAACTGTCCACCATTGTATCCAGCATGCTAGATGTGACATGTGTGTCAATGCCTGTGATGCATCTTGGTTGTTGTAAGTTTGTCTTTTCTGTTGTTATCCTAGCTGTGTGTACATGTGTATGCATGTCTGCAGATGTAACACACGGTCTAGTGATGGCCACGCGCAAACCAATGTCTTTTGTGATTTACACATGCGTTATTAACACTGAATCATCTACATCTGCAACGCAGTTTAACCTTAAAAATATTTTTACATTTAAGTGTCACTCGGTTTTAGTTTTGTTCACCCTTTCAAAGACCACTGCCATCCTCATCCTTTTCTCTCATTGTACAAAGCAGTCCGGGAAAGGGTGCGACTGTGGCCATCACTCAAGACCATGTAACAGGTAGGGCAATGACAACAGTCAGGAACTACTATACACGATACACAACTATTGAGTACTTCAAATTATCTTCAACCATCGCCCTCCTCCAAGTGTACGAGCTGCTGATGTGTCGCCTGGCTGCTCCTGTCTTCCTGACTACTGCATATCCCTACACAGTTACAAGCAAAATACCTAACTTCCCACTATCATCATATCTACAAACAACATAGTTCAGATGCAGAGTCAGCATTATTAAATAGTAAGTAACAAAATATCAATGCAGCCTCAAAAAGTCAGTCAAGTCTATTCATATCACTTAAGGTTAGTATTGGGTTACATTTACTATGGCCTTTTTCATATTGCACATCACAGATGAACCACTACATGCAAATGTTAACTTTGCCATCAATAAATATTAATGTGATTCCGATTACACCGAATTCAAAGTCAAGGTTAATCTATAGCCAGATGATCATGACATATGTGTCATTGTTTTCATATAAAATGGAAATAATTGTTTAGATGAAGATGTCAATGAAACTGTGAGCAGCAGCATCCAAGAATAGGGTCAGCTGGGTAATCGAAATCGCATAAAGATTAATTAATGCCTGACAATAACGTCAGCAATTAATAAATGCTTTTAAGGGAGGTCAGATGCATGACTTATGAAACTGCATTGCACCAAAGATGGCAGCTCTATCCACAAAACAATATTTGTTCCATTGAAAACTGGTAGTCTTGCATAAAAATATCTTCCATTGTCGTAAATGCGAGAAGTCTTTTATGGAAGCAAGACTAAATACCTTCTCCTCCATATACTTGGAGAACTTGGATCCAGTGTACCATGCATCAGTTTAACAACAATGTACACATGGTTATCCTGAATAAGGGTTTTCTGACAAATTTACAACAGGCGTGCATCAAGCTGCCATCTTTGGATATCTAAATACAAATAAGTCAGGAATAATTCATTGACATCAATTAAAATTCGCACGACAATACAAGGGCTTTTTTGGTTTTGGTGTCATCCATTTCTTTGTTGTCGAAATGCATGATAAATAACCAAACATAAATAATCAAAGTACAAATCATTCAAATTTACATCATACTCATTATGAGGATTGTTTTCTAACAAACTAGAAATGACAGATGGTATCCTAAATATACTGCAGTCTTTCCTAGCTATTTAAGGGTTCAAAACATTTGTGGGTGAATTCCATTCAGATGATATTATACTTGTAGGTCAAGAATAAATCATCAACTCAATAAAATTCAACCAACAAATTAACAAATTAACTAGGCATGGCACAAAAATAATAATCTTAAATTGGAATCTGAAATACCAAAAAGATGGACCTAATTTTGATTCAGAATACATTTCACTCCGAAATGAGATTGCTTCTCTTGAAATCCTTATCCCCACCCCTTCTGCAACATCACCAAGCCCTGCCCCCCCAATCCCTTCCCATACCCATAGGCAGCCCGACTAGCCCTTCAATCACAATATACACATGACATTCAGTGGCTGCCCTATGAACACACCCCCTTCTTATATGATCTCTTGGATTGAATCCTTACCCTCCCTAGGCCCTTATTTCGTTCCCCATCACACTCGATTCCCAACTCCACCCACTTCCTAATACATCACAGAGTCCTCTGGTTTCATGTTTCTGTGGTTTCCCTTGAATTTCCTTGTCTGAAGAGATCAAAGTGTGAGATGGTTAAAGAGTGGTGTCCTGAACAGCACTTTTTGTAGTGGCACCACATTGTTTAAGTCTACTTGAAACTCGGCAAGGAATCTAGAGTTTGCTGCTGCTGGAAGCAAGTCCTGTGGAATAATGAGGTTTAACAAGATAAAGAATCTTTGATCTTCCCAGTGATATGGCAGTGGACTGACTAGTTGAGCGTCCAGAGCGAGGCGCTCCAACTGTGGTACAACGAAAATAGTCAACACTCCGCCCCATAACTATACAGGTGGAACCTGTAGGACTGTCAGATGCTGAAGGGTGGAGAACACAGAGTCTAGAACTGGAAGCCACCCACTGGATTGTTTTGAGCCTGAACTCCAAACTGGTATTGCTGTTGGTTTTCATCCATCTGAGGAGCAATGACACGATCCTCTTCTTCTGTTCCAAAGTATTTTTCAATGATGTCAAACGCTTTCTGATAGATATCTCGGTTCTCATGGCTCTGGAGGAACTCGATCTTGTCAAGTCCTACATTACAAACAATGAAATGTGTGAGTGGGCTGCTTTAAACAGTGCTTTAAACAGTAACTCGGTTATATCAAGGCTTGACATTTATATTAATCAATGTAATGGAAATGAATAAAGTACTGCCGACAATGTCAAAGTTGGCCATTTCCCTGGCCCTGTAGCTACTTTTAAACTAAAGGGAAGTACAAGTTTCTCTAATCTGAAGTTACTGTTGCTAATCAACACAGCAGGTTTAAAATTAACAGTTTACTGACGCATAATTGATGTCATATTTAACAGTAATTGTGACTATTGAAACTATCGATTATTATGCATACTATCGACAATAATATTGGCATTTTCACATTCCTATCGAGCTATGAAACAATTGCAATACATCGATAGTTTGATGCATTCCTTGAAAATATGGTACCTAATTTGTTGTGATGTGTACAGAGTAAAGAGATTCTCAAGACTGTGATTAATCTGTGGAAACAATCTTACCATAGCACTCTTCAATCATCACAGCATAGGGGTTGATTCCATTATTGTGTTTCGAGTCTTGTTCACCAAGTCGGAGGATGTTCTCAAGTCCGTTGAGAGCCACTTGGACAATCTTGCTGTCCATGACAGTGAGCAGGTCACACAGTGGAGATATGCAGCCTTGCTCCACCAGAAACCTACAACAGGATCAATGACTGACGACACATGGAGACAAGCTTGTATGCAGCTTACATGGCAAAACCGCTAGAGAATGACAACGCTTTACATGTCGTTGATGTTACTTCAACATACCTAATCTGTTCTGGGGATCCCCCTGACGTAGCATTTGTTATGGCCCAGGCAGCTTCTTTCCGTGTCTTAAATTCAGCTTTACCCAGGATATCTATCAACACTGGGAAAATGTTGGCGTCTATCACGTTCTGAAATAAAGATCATCTAGATTAAACAAGCATGAAATACTCATATCCCCCGCCAATATAATATGTCCAGTTGTGTGCAAGGTAAGAAATATTGTACGTTTTTCCAGATCTGCTCCGGAAATGAGCACTACCGCCATTTTCAATCTAAGTCAAAGTCATTACCATGGAAACTCGAAAAATTAATTTAAAAAAAAAGGCACCATGTTTGGAGAAAAATATTGTACGGTTTTCAAGATCTGCTCTGGAAACGAGCACTACCACCATTTTCAGTCTAAGTCAAAGTCGTTGCCATGGAAACTTAAACAAATGAAGGATACTTTAACCACCATTACCTCAACAATAACAGGGCAACCTCGGTGTTGAATAACAAAAGAGTCATCAATACTGTGAGCATTAATCCTTATTTAAACCATGGTCATAAAGTAATGTACATTACATTATACATGTGGACATTTCGCATCAGTAACATTCTCCATCTCAGTAGGAAGATGTTCTCACATACAATCGTCACAGGTATCACTCAAAGTCTGGGAAGAAGGAACCAACCTGTATTTGCATCCTATTTCCAGCAGTGATGTTTGATATTGTCCAGCAGGCTTCTTTCCGGATGGATTCCTTCGGGCTACTGAGAAGATGCAGGAGACAGGGCAGTGCAGAACAGTTGAGTATCACCTGCAGTCACAAACAACAGGTCATACATTTGTTCCTTGGAGGACATCTTTACATAAACAGCACTTACAGCCTGAGTTGTGAGAACCAGTTGGTTTTATGCCACTTTAGCAATATTCCAGCAATATCACAGTTGGACACATCAGAATTTGGCCTCACACATCAGGGCTCCAGATAAAGACCGTACATACGGTGTACATACATACTTGTACGGTCTAACATTCACTTATGGACATATACATGTATATACAAAAATATATTCTGATTTCAAGCAGGTTATTGTCTTGAGAATATTTTTTTCCCAAAAAACCACAGGTGTGTAAAAGGGGGGCACAGTATACACGCCATGATTTTTTATGGCTTTTATAGCTGCAATGGAAATTCAGACGGTGGTCTGTAAATAATCGACTTTGGACCAGACAATCCAGTGATTGACATCATGAGCATCAATCCACACAGTTTGGATACAATGACATGCATCAACCAAGTCAGAGAGCCTGACCACCCGATTCCATTAGTCGCCTCATACAACAAGCATAGTCGCCTTTTATAGGAAGCATGGGTTGCTGAAGACCTATTCTACACCGGATCTTCACAGGTCTTCACCTGTGATGAATAACAGAGATTTGGATTTCATACTCACTGGTTGTAGTGATCTTTTAAATTTTCTTAATGATGTTTATAAAGGCTGATTAGTGTTGTGAGTACTCACCTGAGTCTGACAGTCATCTCCTGTGACAATATTTCCTACAACGCGTAGCGCTGCTGCCACCACGCTTATATGATTATGCCTGAAAATAGGATCAAAAGTGATTAAGTCTGAAATTGAGTCCCTCAGATCAAGTCTGAACCCAGACATAGTAATGGCAAAATCGGAAATGGAGTCAGATGATAAAGATTGAAGCAAGAGCTGGTAATGTCTGAAAAGCATATCAACCCTGAAATAGGATCAGATATGAAAGTCTACAATAGATTATGTCATGTATAATGTATGATATAATATCAAATATGACAAAGCCAGTACAGTAGCCTATGTAGGAGTGAACCTGTTCAAGGTCAAAATGCTCTCGATCAAGTGATTTCAAGAAACTCCACAACATTTCATTCAATGGGAACATTCATCTCTATCACCATCTTCCATAGATCTTTCTACAGTCCCTGAAGAACTGTCTCCTGACTCACATTAAAAGTTCTACAAGTCGGCGACACACCCCAGAGTCTATAACAGCCTGGATCTTTTCGTTGGGTCCATCTGAGAGATAGGAAAGAGCCCAACACGAGTCAGCCAAGACGTCCTTGTCCGTGTGGAACAGCAGCCGTGCTAACACAGGCAGAGCAGGACATACCTGCCAACAGAGGGGCACCTCATGACAATGGTCTACAACAGCATTCACTACCAAACATACCACAGGCACAAACTTAAAGAGCTTGGAGGTGCAGGGAGTTAAGAAATGTTCAATGTATGATAAATGACTGATATGAGTTAATAACAGATGACAGTTTCTCACTTAAAGGTATGAGAGAACAGGCCTACTAATAGGCACTTTCCCACTGTGGAGCAAGGCAAGATGCATTCCCTACTGAATGGTCACAACAGATAAGACTTTTGAGATGTTTTGATGATCATAAAACAAACCTTTGCAAACTCTGGTGGTGGATTTTTGCCTCGGCATAAGTTAGATAGACACCACACTGCATTCCTTGTCATTGACAGACTGTTGCTTTTGCTTAACAATCTGTAAACAGTGGCACATTCATATCAGACCCCCAAAAGAAAGCATATTCTTCAACACATTTTGTAATCTTATCATGTCACATGTCAGATAGACTTATCCATTAAAGAAAACGGTAAAATATTCAATGCACAATGGTTCAAATCCAATGTTCATTCAAGTTGCCAAGACTGTAGGGCTCCCTGGTGTCATTTACAAATAAAGCTTAGCCCATAGCTACATTTCACAAGTACACTGCTCACGTTTGATACTAAGATACTGACATGAGGACATATTATAAGGGAGTGAGTGAGTGAGTGAGTATGCTTTTACGCCGCTTTTAGCAATATTCCAGCAATATCATGGCGGGGGACACCAGAAATGGGCTTCACACTTTGTACCCATTCGTGAATCGAACCCGGGTCTTCGGCGTGACGAGCGAACGCTTTAACCACCTGGCTACCCGACCCCCCTAGTTATAAGGGAATGAAATGCTAGAATACAAGATTATTATGCATTAAAAACCCACCCAAATGCTGCATGTCGAGATAAATCTTGCATTATGAATGAATTTGCTGCGACAATGCTGCACTGCCAGTTCTTGAACCAACACTGCACAAAGATATCCCTAAAAAAGCTGAATCTATTCACATAGATTTTCTTGGCCTCTTTAACAACAGCATGCTACTTACTGTAATAATGGTACAAGTATTCCTTCATTAAGTACATAGTCCCTGCATTCAGGGCTGTCACCAGCAATGTTTCCTAACGCCCACACAGCCTAAAAATAGATCATCATTAAAACCTGGATTAAAACAACATCAACAATAATACAACAATTATTTTTGCAATAGTCCTGCGAAACAGACACTTTAGACATAGAAATGGTCATCAAAGTGAAGGGTACTCTTTGGTATTACTGGTAATCACTGCCTCACAACAAGACCCATGACATGGGATTCATTGAGTGGAGAAGGTGAGGAGGTTTTGTTAGGAATTTGCTAATGGCCACTGTATGAATGTGCTAGAATCCTCAAAGCCACAACAATGAGAATCCCCACGGATGAGCTGCTACAACATCTCAACCCTATGAATCCCCACAGGTGAGCTGCTACCACATCTCTACCCAATGAATCCCCACAGGTGAGTTGCTACCACATTTCTACCCAATGAATCTCCACATGTGAGCTGCTATAATATCTCTACCCAATGAATCTCCACAGGTGAGCCACAACATATCTACCCAATGAATTCCCACAGGTGAGCTGCTATAATATCTCTACCCAATGAATCCCCACAGGTGAGCTGCTACCACATCTATGCCCAATGAATCCCCACAGGTGAGCCACAACATATCTACCCAATGAATTCCCACAGGTGAGCTGCTATAATATCTCTACCCAATGAATCCCCACAGGTGAGCTGCTAAAATATCTCCACCCAATGAATTCCCACAGATGAGCTGCTATAATATCTCTACCCAATGAATTCCCACAGGTGAGCTGCTACAATATCTCCACCCAATGAATTCCCACAGATGAGCTGCTATAATATCTCTACCCAATGAATCCCCACAGGTGAGCTGCTACAATATCTCTACCCAATGAATCCTCACAGGTGAGATGCTACAATATCTCTACCCAATGAATCCTCACAGGTGAGATGCTACTCCATCTCTACCCAATGAATCCCAACAGGCGAGCTACTACAACATATCCACCCATTGAATCCCCACAGATGAGCTGCTCCATCTCCACCAAATGAATCCCCACAGATGAGCTGCTTCAATATCACTACCCAATGAATCCCCACAGGTGAGCTGCTATAATATCTCTACCCAATGAATCCCAACAGGCAACTGCTAAAATATCTCTACCCAATGAATCCCCACAGGTGAGCTGGTATAATATCTCTCCCCAATAAATCCCAACAGGTGAGATGCTACTCCATCTCTACCCAATGAATCCCAACAGGCGAGCTACTACAACATATCCACCCATTGAATCCCCACAGATGAGCTGCTCCATCTCCACCAAATGAATCCCCACAGATGAGCTGCTTCAATATCACTACCCAATGAATCCCCACAGGTGAGCTGCTTCAATATCACTACCCAATGAATCCCCACAGGTGAGCTGCTATAATATCTCTACCCAATGAATCCCAACAGGCAACTGCTAAAATATCTCTACCCAATGAATCCCCACAGGTGAGCTGCTATAATATCTCTACCCAATGAATCTCAACAGGCGAGCTACTACAACATATCCACCCATTGAATCCCCACAGATGAGCTGCTCCATCTCCACCAAATGAATCCCAACAGATGAGCTGCTTCAATATCACTACCCAATGAATCCCCACAGGTGAGCTGCTATAATATCTCTCCCCAATAAATCCCAACAGGCGAGCTGCTACAATATCTCTAACCAAGGAATCCCCACAGATGAGCTGCTATCATATCTCTACCCAATGAATCCCAACAGGCGAGCTACTACAACATATCCACCCATTGAATCCCCACAGATGAGCTGCTCCATCTCCACCAAATGAATCCCCACAGATGAGCTGCTTCAATATCACTACCCAATGAATCCCCACAGGTGAGCTGCTATAATATCTCTACCCAATGAATCCCCACAGGTGAGCTCCTATAATATCTCTACCCAATGAATCCCCACAGATGAGCTGCTCCATCTTCACCAAATGAATCTCCACAGATCAGCTGCTTCAATATCACTACCCAATGAATCCCCACAGATGAGCTGCTATAATATCTCTACCCAATGAATCCCCACAGGTGAGCTGCTACAATATCTCTACCCAATGAATCCCAACAGGCAAGCTGCTACAATATCTCTACCCAATGAATCCCAACAGGCAACTGCTAAAATATCTCTACCCAATGAATCCCCACAGGTGAGCTGCTATAATATCTCTACCCAATGAATCCCCACAGGTGAGCTGCTATAATATCTCTACCCAATGAATCCCCACAGATGAGCTGCTCCATCTTCACCAAATGAATCTCCACAGATCAGCTGCTTCAATATCACTACCCAATGAATCCCCACAGATGAGCTGCTATAATATCTCTACCCAATGAATCCCCACAGGTGAGCTGCTACAATATCTCTACCCAATGAATCCCAACAGGCAAGCTGCTACAATATCTCTACCCAATGAATCCCAACAGGCGAGCTGCTACAATATCTCTACCCAATGAATCCCCACAGGTGAGCTGCTATAATATCTCTACCCAATGAATCCCAACAGGCAACTGCTAAAATATCTCTACCCAATGAATCCCAACTGGCAACTGCTAAAATATCTCCACCCAATGAATCCCCACAGATGAGCTGCTATAATATCTCTACCGAATGAATCCCAACAGGCAACTGCTAAAATATCTCTACCCAATGAATCCCCACAGATGAGCTGCTATAATATCTCTACCGAATGAATCCCAACAGGCAAGCTGCTACAATATCTCTACCGAATGAATCCCAACAGGCGAGCTGCTACAATATCTCTACCCAATGAATCCCCACAGGTAAGACACAATATCTACACCCAATGAATATACACACGTGAGACACCCAATGAAACCCAAGCATCTGGTGCACTTACTTGTTCCTGCACATCCTCGATTTCGGAACTGAGGAGTTTGATGAAGATAGGTACAGCCCTGGCTTCAATGACAACACGGGTCTGTAGCGAAGTTCCTGAAGCAATGTTTGTCAAAGCCCATGCTGCCTCAAACTAAACAGAATAGAAATGTGTTATGTGGTAGAAGAAAATGTATTTCTGGGAGTTGGTCAGTGGCAGCAAATGACTCAGGCTCTTGTAAAATATCCAGTGGCCTATCTGCACTGGAAGTGTGATTTAGAGTTATCTGCCCTTGATTGTAAAATTCCAGCTACATGTTTACAACAGCCTGTAAATAATCGAGACTGCACCAGACAATCCAGTGATTGATATTATGTACAATGATCTGAGCCATCAGCATACGCTGACACACTATCAACCAAGTCACAGAACCTAACCACCCATTCAGTTGCTGTTAATGACCTGCATAGGTTGCTGGAGACATGTATTCATAGTGTATTATCAAGGGCTGAAAAATACCTTTTCATGGGTGAGTGAGTGTCATTTTACGTTGCTTTTAGAAATATGCCATCACTATCATAGTGAGGGACACCAGAAAAGAGCTTCATACATTGTACCCATGTAGGGAATTGAACTTGGGCCTTCGGTGAATTTGTTAACCATCAGGGTACCCCACCACCCGCAATATCTCTTGAATAGTCATGGACGGTACCATGTTTCATAACGTGACCTCAGGTGAAAATTCATCATGACTAGACATCACTATAGAGATCACATATCTAGTTTTGTCAGACTTCTTCAGGCATTGCATATAGTTTTGCATATATATTTTTTCAAATATTTTACATGGCATATCTATCACTTAAAGTCTCTTCTTGTTGCATGGATGACAACAAAAACCTTTTCACCAAGATGTCGGATATACAATCAATCTTTAAACAGGGTAAAATAAATTTAATGAAACATGTTGAAATCATATTGTCAGCACTGAACAAAATGATGAAAAACATCAAGATAGGGTCAGGGGATTGTCTTATTTAATAAATCTGAGTAAAATGAGGTAGAATAGGGAGTAATGTAGGTAGGGTTGGGTAACCGGAACCAAGCATATTTTTGGATACGCCTAAAGTATGAAGTCATTGGCATGAGTAGGCAAACCAATCACCAACCAAGTTTGGGATGTGTATTGAGCAGGATTGCCACGTGCACATGTAGTGACAAAGCAGAGTATGGTGAAGGTGTCTCAATCTTTTTCAAGGGGACAGCTTAAGATCATTGGGTACTGGCAACGAATGACTAACCTGCAGTGTCCAGCTTCCATCTCTCTGTAGGAACTCTACAAAACGTGGGACAATTCCAGTTTGTATCACTTCATCTATCGGTGGGTTTGGTTCTGTACAGAAAGGATAGGCATGGTTACATTAATCATCATGTTTATATCTATGTAGCTCTAGCATCACCAATGTAAAACAAAGATAAATTAGTATTTTATGTTGTTTTGTTTGTTGTTTTACGTCGCACTTAGCTATATTCCAGCTATATGACGGTGATCAGTAAATAATCGAGCCTGAACCAGACAATCCAGTGATTGTAGACACATACACCATGAACAACAAGTAGATGTTTTGATAAGCATGTTGCAAGAATTGATGTGTGACTACATGAAAACTAAAATACCCAACAATTTTCTTTAAAAAATAAGTTCTCCACTTACCTCTTGATAACAGTTTCCTAAATTTTTGAGTTGCAGCTTCTAATTCCTCAACATTTTCACTGTATAAAGCTTGAACCATCTCTGTACTGATGCCACCCTGTATGGACAGATGTTGAACAATAAGGATGAGTCATTAACATATACATGTATACATGAAAGTTGCATCTGCTCCGATCAGTCGGTAATAATTGCCATCCAACCTTACATCATTGATGAACCTCGTTGTGTCGAACTTGGCTGTGTCTAATTCCTGGTTGTCTTGAATTCACTTGGGAGTCCCAAGTATCCAAATTAAGCATAAAATCCCCCTGATGTTAGATCTCCGGATAACTTGAACTTTTTTCCAGGTCACAACAAGGAAGGAATGTATGTTACTGCCATCAGGTAATACTCTTTGTATTCCACCTGTGTTTGCTAAAAAGGGGTTCCTGGGCTACTTCAGGTTTTCTGCTACAGTAATTGAATTGAAGGACCCCCAATAAAATTGTAATTCTTAACATTAGAGTTATGACAAGAACCCCCAGATTTTCATAAAGACACTTATAAGAAATTAAAAAAAAATTGTTTTATTCTTTAAAAGATTATTAATGATCTGCTGGTATTTTTGTTGTGTTCTTTGCTCAACTCCCACAGTTATATCAGGAATGCTTAACAACATATTTTATGTCAAATCTGTTGCCAGTATGAGTGAGTGAGTGAGTGAGTATGGTTTTACGCCGTTTTTAGCAATATTTCAGCAATATCATGGCGGGGGACACCAGAAATGGGCTTCACACATTGTACCCATGTCGGGAATCGAACCTTGGTCTTCGGCGTGACGAGCGAACACTTTAACCACTAGGCTACCTGACCGCCCCTGTTGCCGGTATGAAGTGGCATAGATAAGAATCATAGCCTTAAAGTCAAAATATCAATGATACATCTATATATGTATTTCCCACATAAATCTGAACATGCTGAATTAACTATTTTAATAAATGATGACCATTGCTTACAGCAAAATCAAATTTGAGTGCCACAACTTTCATTCAACTTTGACATAATTGCATTGTGATGTCATAGCATTGTTTTGTTTGTTGTTTAACATACATTCAACAATAATACAGATATATGACAGCAATCTGTAAATCATCGATTCAAGATAATCCACTGACTGACATGACCATTGATCTACACAATTCGGATATGATGACATGCATCAACCAAGTCAAGACAAGACAAGAATGGTTGCTGAAGTCCAATGCTAATCCGGCTGTTCATGTGCACATAGTATTAGTATTATATGATGTTGGAGTGTCTACGCACATAAACATTTTGTGTGCATATTTTATCTATCTACTCTAAACAAAGCACACAAACATACAGAATTAATGACATCATATGTAATAATGTTTCCATCCTTATCAAAATAATCATGTAAGTCTTTACATGGAGTGAGTGAGTGAGTATGGTTTTACGCCACTTTTAGCAATATCTCAGCAATATCACGGCGGGGGACACCAGAAAAGGGCTTTACACATTTTACCCATGTCAGGAATCGAACCCGGGTCTTTGGTGTGACTAGCGAACGCTTTAACCACTAGACTTCCCGACCGCCCCTCTTTACATGGAAATCAAATGGTACAAGCAATGGTACTCAGCAATATTCGGACTATTTCATGGCAGCCTGTACATAGTCAAGTCTGGACCAGACAATCCAGTGATTGATGACACGCTATCAACAGACCAACCAAGTCTGACCACCCAATCAACAAAGCAGCCTCTCGTGACCAGCATAGGTTTCTGGGATCAATTCTAACAGGGAATCCCCATTGGGGGGGTATATCAAAAGAATCAGGAATACATACAGTGAGGGTTGATGACACAGTGGCTTCCTGCACGTCTCCCACAGACATTTCATCAGATCCTGATGGCACAGATACATTTCGCCGTTTGAAAAGCTGTAAAAAATATGAAACAATTTAATTGGGTTGAAATGAATAATACAGTTTTGAGTTAATGAAATTAAAATAGTTGATACAGAAACAAAGCACGGAAGTTCTTCAAAGGAAATAATTTCTTACAGTATTTTGATATTTTAATAAATCTGAACTTTTCTTAAGATTTGGTAAATGTATTGAGGAGTAATGCAGGGTAAGTAAAACATTTATAGATTTAGAGCAATATGATATGAGTCCAGTCTTCTGGTAGTTCTTGTATGTAATGTCAATGTGTAGATAACTCAGGGTTACAAACTCAGGATTTATACTTCTATGTAGGTCAGCAAAAACAATCAGTTATAGAGTCGCCATGTACCTTATTGTTGAAGTAATAGAACACAAGGAAATGTCACTAGTCTTTCCAGAATTTGAAAACTACAAGACTAGCATACTTTTGATAAAGAATCAAGAATTTTGTTAATCTACATAATTACAGGGTTCGAAATTCTAGGCTACCTGCTAGCTCGGGGCTAGTACTAATTCCTGGGGGCTAGTACAAACTCCTGGTGGCTAGTACAAATTTCCCCATTGCTTTAACATTGCAAGGGCATTTAATCTTTATCCCCAGGCGAGGATAGTTCTAATCCTGCATAATTTCACGAAAATCTGTCAACATCAAAGAGAATTTACTGTTTACTGGAAATCTAGCAAAACATCAGTGAAGCTGTTGCTATGTAACCCCTGAAGAAAACAGAAGTATTATATTCCACAAGACTGTCCTACTTGTTCATCTCTTTTCTGTTTACGAAGTTGAATTCCTTCTTCCTCTCTCCTGCGTCTCAATTCCTGGGAGTCAAGTGCCTTATTTTTGTATGATTTAAGTCGGTGGTTGGCAGGTCCAGGGGCTTCCGACATCTGTACAGAAAAAGTATATATAAAAGACTGTCACATATATTTATCCTAAACCAAGGTGTTATTGTGTGTGTTGCCACCTCATACAGGGTTCCCTCCTTGATTCTGGTAAATAATCATGGTCTCTTGTATTGACACAGCAGTACTTGCTATCCAGCAAAAGGCTGCATGGGACTCTTAGCAAAACATTTGGGGGGTCCCAGGCAGTAAAATTAAGGTCCCAAGGTGACCACTGTACCAAAAACAAATGCCGTATTCGACGTAATAAGCGCCCCGCTCTAATAAGCGCCCATAGCGATATTTTCTAATATATTGGCTAGTGAACAATCCCAATTAGCACCCCTTCTGATTGATCAATGTACACAGGACTTATTCATTCGTGTATAATATGTATGTTATATGCATTCTTAATTATGGGAAATTAAATTCTGGAAAATATATATCTGTCGTATATAAACATTTCAGACTGTCAGCATAAACCACGAAATTTACGATCTTTCAACTCTGTTATTTTTTACCAAAATAATATTCTAATAAGAGCCCCCTTTTTTAAAATTTGAGAGAGCCCTGGGCGCTTATTATGTCAAATACGGTAAACTAAATAAGAGTCATCAGCAGATGACATATCCCCCCAGCCTGGTGCAATTCGGAAAAGGAGTTTGGCAACTAATACCCCACTTCTGGTGCATTGCCATTGGATACCTTTAGTTCTGTAAAGAAATATATACTCACCTCCAAAGAAACGTAAACCATAGGAACATATAGAGAAGTATGTACATTAAGAAGAGGTGTTTCCAAAGTGTACCACTTAATGACAAAAATAATAATCATGTCAAGTGTGTTAAAAAGCGTGTCTTTATTTTTATCACAATAAGCTGCACATGATTTCCAAACTGTACATACTAATACTGCACGAGACAAATGGTGCATCTCGGGTCATGGATCTGTGAAATCACAAGTGATGCTTTCATAAGCATTGGTTCAATGGTTGCCATGGAAACTCGAAAAGAATTATTGTCACCAGTTCTACACTAGGCCTATCTATCAGTTTGGTGAAGAAATATTGTACCGTTTTCCAGATCTGCTCTGGATCTTGCACATCTTGCACTGATCGTGTCCATTTTTATATCCCTCTCATAAAGCAAAAAATCCCAAATCATCAAAAGGCACCCATTTCACCACTAGAGTGATCTATATAGCAAGTTCCTTCTAGAAACAGTCAATGATTTTGGAATTCTGATCCAAAATGAGCACTACCCTCATTTTCAGTAAAGTCAAACTTGTCATTAAAACATAAAAACAGTATGAAAAATAAGAATCCCAAATAATCAAAAGGCACCAGTTCCACGCTAGAGTGATCTCTATAGCAAGTTTCAAACCTTGGGATAAAAAGTGGGTGTGATACCTTCTACTTATTATAGATGTGGATTTCCTTTTTTGAATTATAATTGATTCAGTGAATGAAATTTGGCATGTACTATTCGGAAGTGCATATCTTAATAATAATTTGCATAAGCTGCCATATTTTGCATCCAATAAACTCTGTGCTGTGAGAACACAATCATGTAATAATCATAGTTATTTGAACAATATTATCTTTTTTCTTAAATCCAAGAAGAAATAAAATTGTCTATTCTCTTGGGTAAAAAATATCCACTTTCAATAGTCACCCTTCACTTGGCAATGATGGTGATGATGTACATGTTTCTTATGCCTCATTTAGTGATTCAGAACATTGAATAAACATTGAAATGCAATCAGATAAACTTTCACAGGGATCAAAGTCACATGGCACCGATACTATAAGCTCCACCATCAAAATCACACCACACTTGTAAATTTGCATAACTCTGTGTGACTGAACTAAACATGCATGAACTTCATAATTCATCTGAAAGTCTATTTCCATATTACTTGCATAATAATTCAACTGACATACACAGACAAGTAGCTTGGGTTAATATGTTGTCAACCGATCTCGAGGGGTATATGGTGTGATGTGCCCTGTGTGTGAACCTATGTATCCCGAGCCGCCAGGCTCACTCAAACACAGGATATGTCACACTATAACTTATAGGCCCAGTGGGATCAGATGACAATGAATTCATCTCACCGACATTCATTCATACAAACCAAGAATATATGTCCGAAGTTTCACCAAGAATAACGCTTTGATACAGCCATTTTGACAGCTAGCAGACGATGCAAACTGAATTACTTCCCTTTGCCCAATGCATTCAGATGAACATTGGTTCATTTCAGCTCAACGATAATTATGTGAGATAAGCAAGTTATCTAAGGTGTGTTCCTATTGTTTCTCAGCGGGCTACATGAGCAGGCTACATGGAACATTACTGCCTGCTCCTTAACCAATCAGATGCAAGTATCTTAATGTAAAGTGAGACAAGCAGGTTTGTTATGAACAAACATGCATGTTTTTAATGGAAATAGCATATTTTATTTCACTAGCCACATATTGAATCATTGTATGAAGCTGATACAATCAAATACAACTGAACACATGATAGAATTCTTAGAAGAAGGGTAAAGCTGACATTGATAGGTTTAGTTAGAAGAATTGCACTATGTCACATTGCTTGATTAATGAAATGAAATGAAAAACAATTGTTATCAGTTCTCACTACCTTGATCAAGTATGTTTTATGTAGGTAACGTGTATGGTTTACTGCCCATCAAAAGATGATCTTCACTACTAGAATTGGTGCTCCTCATGCATCGAAATGGATTTAATCTTGCATCCTATAGGCACACCTTAAGCCTACAAATAAATGAATTTAGACAGCAAAGAGTTCTCAAAGAATAAAATAGTTACACAGACCACAGGTTCCCATCAATTGACTAAGATAGTAAACAGGGAATGTCGATATGAAATGTCTGTGACCTAAGATGACGGGTGATCGATAGAAACAAGGGATTTCAGGAAACTACATGCCCAGTAAACTGCAAATCTGCTTTGTTTCCCGTAACAAATTAAGCACTTCTCCCCTTGAAGCATGAATTATCCCTTTCGTCCAACTGTTAAAACTATGTTTATTTTCAAACTTCAATTCAATTTGAGAATTTCTTTTCACTTGTCTGTGAAAACTATGAAACAAACTGGCCAATTTGGAAGAAGAAACAAGCAATGTAGGGCACATTTATTTGGAATGGCGAACTGCGTCATAACATGGACTTCAATGTGGCAGTTGTGATCAGTGGCAGCACCGTTTGTGCAACACTCAAGTTTTAGGGCTGGGACGTGTAACTTGGATACTCGGGTCGGATGGGTACTGAGTAGGACCCATGTACCCACAGGACTACCCAGACCCGTGGTTAGTCACGTGATATATTGTTTATTGACAAAAAATATCGAAAACTCTATGGTTACACTACAAGCCACTATTGTTTGCATTTCTTTCTGACTATGCACCCATTCCTTCTGACCTTTATAGGTCTTAATAAAGAAAAAACTGCAGTCAACTTCAGTGTATGCATGATCAGATCGTTTAATACGTGTATCTAAATACATTTTACCAGGGCTACAGTCAAACTATTCCCAATTGGACTTTTTACACCCAACTCTTGAGACATATAGTGGGTAGCCGGGTAGGGTTGGGTAATAGTGTGGTGGGTACCCGGGTAGTAAATTTGGCCGACATGTATAGCCAGCTAGTGAAAGACTTGACCATGGATTTCTTGTGCCTGAAGTGTTATTCAACATATAAGTTTACAAGTCTATTTCCAATTTCATTTGTTTACAAGTTCTTTTTGTCTACGAGTTGGGAGTGTCTACGAAATCTCCTTGGCTTTAAATAGGTTCGGTTACGAATTCCCCAACAGACCTTCCATTCCACTGTATTTTGTTTGCTGTGACCGTCTGCAACTGCCCAGCCCATGTCTCGCACAACTGATCAAGCTTAGTTCGGCTTACATTCAACACGTTAAATAATATAGATCTTTTAACATCTTAAGGGAACGCGTCATAACGAAACCCACAATAATGAATCCTTAATTGATGTTTACATGTTGCTGACTTCCATGAACAGCTGATAAACACGCACTTTGTGGCTGATCGTAATGAACACTTTCTTGGAAGCGAAGTTGTCATTTGGTACTGATAATAGGATCAATACACACCAAAATATATCCAAATCTGCAACAATTGATTCGAAAATATATACAAAACACTTACATCTGTTGGCATTTACTGATCTGGTTTTGTCTTTGTTGTAAATTCGCTATTTTATCACTGAAATAACAAGCGTGTTTTTCTTTCTTCCCGTTCGAAACCTCACTGAGCATGTCATTCGTTGTATTTCTAATTCTTCAAAAATAACACTTATTGATAGTGATGCTCGACATTTATTGACTAAAGCATTCCAAAATAACACATAAAGACATTTATGACATTAAATTATGTGGTTTTATTATTCTCGTTACTGCGAGAATTTCGAAACAAACATGGCGGCGTCCAGTGACGAGGTCACATGTGATGACTTTCTTGGTTTCCAGGTATCTGACAGTTCTTTTAGCATATTCACGCGACTGTTTCATTTGCTTAAACGCATTTTAGTTCATCCCCAGTGCCAAATATTTAACTTTTTACATTTAAGCAACTGATGTCGTAACTACGACTACCCAAACGTGAATAATTGCTTGAATCAGTTTCTAAATAGGCTAATTTTGCATGTTACTGGGTATGGATCAGTCTTGTGGTTGGGTTGTTTGATTGTTACGAGGATAACCTTTAAGTTGGAATGTCAATTTACAAATCGAGTGAAAAATCTGTCCATCAATTTAACATACTAACTAAAAATTATTAAGAAGTTCAAAAGAGCTTTATAGCATTACAATAGACTATAATTATACTTGGAATAGAAGCCAAGAAAATATAGATATGTACTTTGACTTTGTTTGTCTTTTAATCCTATCATTTTTCAGTCACTGCGTCATGAAATATTAATAAACATAAAAAAATGTTTGGAATTCGTTATCAATTAAATAAATGGACAGATGTTTCATGACATGACAATTTGTAAAATACCCAGTAGGTGAATATTTAGCTGTTTTATTAATTGCCTTAGCGAAAATTTTAGTAATTTTACACATTGAATATTGTATATACACACAATGAAATAAGCAATGCTAAGGTGAAATATTTAGTGTTACTAGTCAAAATAGTGCAAACGAAAATCCGCAGTGCCAAGTGAATAACCAAAACTTTGTTACCATTCACCGATGCTTCCCCCAAAGATACCTACATTTTCTTATTATTTCCTAGGCAAAACTTTTTCATTTTGTTGATCAATGGGATGTACGCCTTATACAGAGACAAATTCGCTCAGCACAGGTCGCGAAAAGTCAAGATTTCTCATGTTTCTGGGATATCATCCAGGTATCCAGCCAGTCCTGTTGGATCAGTGCCCCTCTTAGGGTCTAGATGTTCACCATTTGGGCAATTGCACATGTTTTTTTTACCAGACCACATATATATTGTTATACGATTTATGTGCTTATATGCCAACCCTATTGTTTTGCATAATTATCTAGATCTATATACTACTACAACTGCCACAGTGATGTGCTTTACACATCAAAGTGACCGTATTGCTAGCTCTCCGTAGGGCTTTGATGACAGGACATGGAGGCCAAATATGCCAATGGAAATAGCTTTTCACATTTTAGGATATTTGAACATTTAATGACATATGTTTATCTAAATGCCAATCCAACAGTTTGAGAATTGAATCGGGCATGTGACATCACATTCGAAAATTATTTTTGCATGTCAAAAATGAAAATCGAAATGTTGATATATGCAATAAACCAGAAGTTGTATGTTTTCTTACTTACTCGCCAACTTCTAGAATGCCAATCCAACATTTTGAGAATTAAATCGGGCATGTGACATCACATTCAAAAATTATTTCTTGCATGTCAAAAATGAAAATCGAAATGTTGATATATGCAATAAACCAGAAGTTGTATGTTTTCTTACTTACTCGCCAACTTCTAGAATGCCAATCCAACAGTTTGAGAATTGAATCGGGCATGTGACATCACATTCGAAAATTATTTCTTGCATGTCAAAAATGAAAATCGAAATGTTGATATATGCAATAAACCAGAAGTTGTACGTTTTCTTACATACTCGCCAACTTCCAGAATGCCAATCCAACAGTTTGAGAATTGAATCGGGCATGTGACATCACATTCAAAAATTATTTCTTGCAATTCCCTTTAAAGTGAGAGAAATGTCTGCTTCAGTGATCACACCGTGGGTGTAGGTCATCAAATAACTGGATTTTTTTCTTGTTTATTAAGCACAAATGCCCTTATTCTGAAATTAGGAAGATGGGCATAATGCAAGCCTTTTAGTGTGCTTTACATGTTGATTTGCATAATTATATACATATGCTACTTAGGGCTCGCTATTGATACAGATCACAGATAATTATCAATCAAGTATTGATAAATATCGGGGAAGTAACTTTGAACTAATATGCAAAAAAGAGTCTTGGAAAAAAAGGAACATACTTCACTCCACTGGTGAGTAGTGACACCTTTATGCAGGGATTACTTTGAGAACATTTGAGACATAACAAAAACAGTTACTTTCCATCTTCAGCAATTGACTTTATTGACAATAACAAGCCTGTTTTGGTAATTCTAAACTTTATTTAAAAAATAGTTTCAGAACACCAAGGACTCATGTCCCTGAACTCATTCACCACACTTTGTTTATTTGTACTTCGCAGGAAGCATTAAAGAAGTGGAGGTTTATCGATGACCGTATCGTCTATGCCCTCAACACATCACTGCCCACAGCTTCCTTTGCAGGAGAAGTGAATGCAACCAGTCAGTGTAAACATCTATATGAACAGGTACAACCCTCAGTGTATGTAGGACTTAAGTCTATGGTCATCTTAGCTTGGCCCTGTGAGGGTTCCCAGTTAGAAGTGGTTTATTGTAGGAGGGGACTTACTGGATCAGGTGGTCAAACATGGTGACATTGTTCATAGAGTGTCATTGTACCCTTATTGTTGCTCGTGATATCAATCTCTGGAATTCCTGGTCCTGACTTGATTATTGACAGGTCACCTTCATACAGCTGAAATATTGCTGAGTGAGGCAACAAATCTAAATTCTCCATTGCTCACTATGTTCGACAACGTGCCATAGTGTATGAGATCCGTGAAGATATTCGGGGTAGAATAGGTCTTCAGCAACCCATGCTTGCTGTAAAAGGCGACTATGCTATTCGTAAAAGGTGACTAACTGGATCGGGTGGTCAGGCTTGCTGACTTGGTTGATGCATGCCATCGATCCCAATTGCGTGGATCGATGCTCATGATATCAATCACTGGATTGTCTGGTCCAGACTCGATTATTTACAGACTGCCGTCATATAGCTGGAATATTGCTGAGTGCGGCGTTAAACAGCAAGCCAAACCATAATGTATGATGTACCTTAGATAGGATATTAGCCACAGATCTGAGAAAATGGATCATACTCTTACAAGTATACTTCAACAAAGAAAATGAACCATTTCTCTTTTGAAGTGATGCCTTTCAGATTATATGGGATGTAAGATAAAGTATTTAAATCAGTTTTCCCTTGATGATATCTATCTGTACTATTTGTTTGTTTGTTGTTTAATGCCGCACTCAGCAAAATTCCAGCTATATGATGGCGGTCTGTAAATAATCGAGGCTGGACCAGAATCCAGTTATTCATTTCATGAGCATCATTCCACACAATGGGGATATGATGACATGCATCAACCAAGTCAGCGAGCCTGACCACCTGATCCCGTTAGTCGCCTCTTACGACAAGCATAGTCACCTTTTACGGCAAGCATGGGTTGCTGAAGACCTATTCTACCCCGGATCTTCGTGGGTCTATCTGTACTAAAGGAACTTGTTAATGAATGAGAACTTAATCCTTTGTAAGGGCACAAGTATCCCACTCTTCTAAGGCACCAGAATCCACTGTGCAGTTACTTTCCTGAGTTGTACTAAGATCCTTGGATTGTGGGTTCAAATCACAGACTACTGATTTTTATCAATCAAGGGCCAGTTGGGAGGTTGGTTTCACCACAATGGTAAAAAAATGTCCTGCATCACTTAAAGCTCACTTCTATCTTTCTGCCAGTTTGCAATATTTTGTTTCAGCTAGCTGAGACCTATGATGGCCGAGAACAAGCCATTAAAAAGTGTGTGCGTACAGTTTCATCAGTTGTTGGTGATCTCCAAAATCAGAAAAAGAATGACCCAGACAATGCTGAGATCATGAAGAGGCTGAGCAAGGAGAGAACCAAGGTATGTAATGTGTGATTGTGTTTAATACAATTGCTATCTCTCACTGTAGCTGGCCTACACCATTCTGGATATCTATTGCATAATCAATTCTACTACATGAGGGGTGGTGAGATAGCCTTGTAGTTAAAGTCTTCCCCTTCAGGTTTGATTTCTCAATAGGTCCAATGTATGAAGCTTATTTTTCTGTTCTCTTCAGTCATCTTGTAATATGGCTGAAACAGTGAAAACTCACTCACTCTCATACATGACCAATCTAATACTAGCATTATTATTGAAATTGGTTCCATCCGTCCATCTGTCTGTGTGTGCGTGCATAACTCAGAAACCATTTAATATTTCTCTATGAAACTTTGAATGTTTATCAGACTCATGCTGAACTGGTGCCTTTTGCAATTTAGGAATTTTATAAATTTTTATTTTTTATGTTTCCATGGCAACAGGTTGGACTTAGGTTCTATAAGGGTGGTGTTCGTTTCCGGAGCATAACTCAAAAAATGTTAAATACTTTCTTACAAAACTTTGCATGTCTACCAGGCACATACTGAACTGGTGCCTTTTGATATTTAGCATTTTTAGAAATTTTTATTGTTTATGTTTCCATGACAACAAGTTGGATTTAAGTTTTAATATAGGGTGGGTTCACTTATGGAGTAATAACCGTAACATGTTAAAATGGGCAGGGGATATAGATGACTTCGTTGACTATACGCTTGTTATTATCTTTTGCAGCATGAAAAATTTGATTGACTTTTGTCTTTCATCTGGCATCTCTTTGACTTTTATGTGTAGCAGCGATAGAAAGTATTGTTAATCCCCAATCTAATGCTTTCAAAAGGCTAAGTGTGATGCAAAAGGTCTTGTCCACTAATTCCATCTCACAGAATGATATTTAATTTCCTCAGTGACATAACAACTTGTCGATCTTGTCGAGTAATCCCATGAAAATATTTGTGATTCAAAGGGGGCCTGTTTTCTTTTCAGCTGCGTCTCATGCAGTCTGAACTGAACATAGAAGAAGTGCTACGGGACCGGAGTATGAAAGTAGGTCTTCATCAATCATTCATTCTACGCTTGTTGACACCTCATTTTATAGAGCCTTGAGAGAGCTAACTGATGTAGTCAAGCACTGTTTATGTGTATCAATCAGCTCCTTGTTCCTCAATAGCCCTGCTGTTATTCAGGGGAAGAATTTGTGTATGTGTAAGATTTTACATATGCTTGTCATAAGAGGCGACAAAATGGATGCGGGAACAGGCTCGGTGACCAAATGGAACGTGTGGTCTTAGTTGACATTGTCTCATCATAACCCAACTGTGTGGATCACTGGTCACTATATCAATCACGACAATATATACAGGGTGCCATCATGAAGCTGGGATATTGCTGAGTGTGGCGTTAAACTTCAGACATACAAATAATACAAGCTTTAATAGTTTTTTAGACGACTAGTTACAAATGTAATGAAATGTAATGTAATGAGTTTCGTATTGAAGATGGGTTGCTCAAGTAACTTGAAACATTTATATATATGATGTCTTAATGGCAGACCCTGCTTTGGGGAGCAATTCAATTCTAGCCTGTCTCTTCTTTTAAAGATGTTGTATTGTGATTAATTCTGTTGTTAAAATAATTATTAAATTGTAAATTCATCGTAAACTCTTGTTGTTTTTCAGGTATTTTATGAACGATGTCGAACAGTCTATAGGCCTCCTTCTGCTCCGATAGTATGACAACAGTTTACTTAGAGTATGAAAGTGTGTGCCAAGCAGTCACCCAGTACGTTAGCTGCAGACAAAGTACTAACCTTGACAGGGGGGGGGGGGGGGGGGGGGGTAGAAAGAAGTACCAACTTTTGGCAAGGAGATAAAAATGGGAGTTGGTTATTCTTTTGTCAACATATAGTTGTAATATCCTTGTGATCGAGTGTTGGGAGGTGGTAATTTAAAATTGATGAACTTTTGAAGAAGTAATTTGTTTTTGTACGCATGGAAACACTGGCCCTCCATCTATACCTTGTAATGATGACTGGTTCAGGACAAGACGTGTATGCTAGTGAGACTGTCAGGTAACAGAAAGCTGTGTGTTGATTATGTGTGGACACTAGTACTTCACAGTGACAGTTGAGTGTATCAAAGAAAGGTGTCTTCTTCCTTGCTTGTCTCCTGTTTCAACTTAAACAAGATCTACAACCATAATATAATATATCTGACTTAACAATATCATACATATGCGGGTAGATTTTGTGTTTTTAATTAACAATTAAATCTTGTATAATGTCTGAAGGACCGGTTTGCCTCAGTGTGTGCAGTCAAGTTTTGTAAATACAGTATCTGTTTTAAAATAATGCTTGGTATTAAGTACATTAACTCGCCTTGAAAATAAGTACTCGGGAAATAGATGAATGGACAAACTGTGAATGGTTCAATTTCTGATAGACATTTTTATATCGTGAGCGATTTGTGTGTGTATCACGTCATAACCTAACTATGTGTACCATTTTGTGATGTGAACCTTTCTAGAGAAGAGACCCCGAATCAAGTAAAGAGCATGCATGTCAGAATGGCTCATTGTGATTTAGAGAGAAGAGTTGTTGATGGGGCTGAAACGATACATCGGTGCACTGCGAGGTTTCATGCGACGATATGATCCACAGTATGTTTCGTTCTGTATCGATACAATACAATACACTGTCTAACATAAATTACAACTCGTTTAACGAGCCCCCAGCGTTTTTGTCAGTCAAATACTGCAAAATGTGTTGTAATTATCGATGTAAGTTCTTCACTAAAAATAGCCACTAAGAACATGTCTACAACTAGATTTTCCTTTTGAACCTGTTTTGGAATGCTCATAGTTAAGAATTTTCCACATGGTTTGTCGTTAATATGAGTATTGCGATACATACTGTATCGTGACCTATAGCGTAGAGACCTTGCTGTATCGTTTCTCCCCTAGTTATTGATAGAACTGTGACTGTTCGTATCTAAGGGCACTCAAGGTTATGTCCGTGGAGTGTGCAGTCCAGACCTGTATTCTGCACTGACTGAAAGTGCAGGCCACAGTGCGAAGGATCTCTACTCCCGAGGGTCAAGTCAAAGAAATTATTGTGTGCTGAAATGGTGTCATTTCATTCATCAGCTTGTGTCATATTGATTGAATGGATGATTGGAAATGTATTATACTAGAGAATATATTTGTGATAAAAACAACCTGTTTCTGTTGTTATATTTATAAGAAAGTTAACGAGTTAGTCAGTGTGAACAAGTTTACTATACTAGGACTGCGGTGGGTACTCAAGTACCTGATAATGGGTCAGGTACAGATGGACTCAGTCGCCAAGGAGGGGGAGATAACTCAAAATGAAAGTTGTTGACAAGGACAGATAACTCTTGCCTCACCTAGACCGAAGAAATGGATGAGAAATGTTCAAGCACTGCACAGTATGGCTGCACTTTGACCTTGAAATGGCCAAAAAAGAAAAAAGATGCAGTTTATGGGACCATAACATATTTACACACAGACACTGCCAAGACACACAAATGTAAACATTTTATAATGAAACACAAATTGGTGTCCAGTTCTCCTGGTCAATGGGGACGGACGGGTAGCCTAGTGGTTAAAGCATTCGCTTGTCACGCCAAAGACCCGGGTTCGATTCCCGACATGGGTACAATGTGTGAAGCCTATTTCTGGTGTCCTCCGCCGTGATATTGCTGGAACACTGCTAAAAGCAGCGTAAAACCATACTCACTCACTCACTCCTGGTCAATGTAGAGCACTATGCACACTTCGCAACTTGGGCACATTCACATGGAAACTATCCAGCAAGGTTTTTACTGGCGAGGCAATGCATTTGTGTGTGTGTGAGATCTTCAGTCTCTTAGTTTTGTTTCGCACTCCGTCCATATTCCCTGATGCCATGTCTCAGAACTATTCATAGATATGTTGTTTCAAACAGTTTGACATCCAAAGATTTTTTACGTTATGATTGTTATCATCTTATGCTGGTTTCATAGTGCTAGCCCACTGAGATATTATGCTGCAGTTTAACATGGATACCCTCGCTGGTCAGGCCTGCTGACTTGGTTGATGCATGTCATCGATACCAATTGCGTGGATCGATGCTCATGATATCAATTACTGGATTGTCTGGTTCAGTTTTGATTATTTACAGGCCGCCGTCATATAGCTGGAATATTGCTGAGTGCGGCGTTTAACAACAAACCAACCAACCAACCAACTTTAAATGAGGTTAGTGCTCGTTTCTAACCTTTCTGGATGGAACTTGCTATACAGATCAGTCTACTGGTAAACTGGTGCCTTTTGAACAAATAGAATTTTGAAAAATTCTAGAACAGCATTATTTTCTTCTTCACTGAACTGAAGGTGTCCAATGGCAATGAACCGAAAGTGTGGTGTAAACAGCTGACCTCCATGTCTGATGTGCACCAGACCGGGGGGATATGTCATCTCCAGATGACTCTTGTTTATCCCCTTAGTGCCGAGCGTCAGGCATTACTTTAATTTTTTAGAATGATGCGGCTGGTGATCAAACCACCGACCTTCCACTTTCCCAATCTCAATAAAATCAGATCCTACATTAGGGGTCACGTCAGCAGGACCTTTCATCCGACCAATCACAGCATCGCTTACCAGATTCAGTGTCTTGTGATGATGCAACCTCGAAATGGTAAACACGAGGCAGTTCGAATGACAGTTACGGGCTCTACACTTGATTCCGTCCAAATAACCATCTACATGGGATAAACATTTGAAATGGAAGAGTCTTTCTTTGGGAGTACTGCCATGCAATCTCAGACATATGTTACACATTAAAGATTTTTTTTTTCATTTTGAATCGATAATTTTCAAAGCGAGGTTGCCAGTTTGAAACTAGTGCGGTAAAGATCGAGAAAGCTGCTTTCTGATTGGTTAATAGCAACTTCTTGGCATTTCATTTGATCGATCAAAGTTCAAAAAAGGTTGTTCTGACATAACCTGTAATGGGATCTTTGCTTAGCAGTAGCGACACATTTGTGTTTCAATACACAAAAAATCAGTAAGATTGTATGTTGCAGCAAATTCACATATCCACAATGAACAGCCACTTTGACCGCCCAATGATTAGGGCTGGGGCTGGGATGAGTCCAAATTTACTACTCGGGTACCCATCTCCCTATACCCTTCCCTACCCGGATACCCTCTGTAGGTTTCAAGAGAGGAGTACAAAATATCCGACTGAGAAATGTTTGAATGGAGGGCTGACAAAAAGTATTTGGATACACTCCCATACACTATGAAATGATCTGATCATGTACACACTGCAGTTGACTGAAGCTTTATTTTTATTCAAACATATAAAAGTCACAAGCTATGAGTGCATTGTCAGAAAGAATTACCAATCTAAGCAACTTGAAGTGTAACCATGGAGTTCTAGATAATTTTCGTCATTAAACAATACATTATGTGACTAACCACGGGGCCGGGTAGTCATCTGGGTACCCTGATCCTACTCAGTACCCACCGGCCCGAGTACCCGAGTTACTCATCCCTCCCTAATTAGTACAGTTCTCTTTACTAAGACTTGACGCCTAGGAGAGTGAGTTAGTGAGACAATTTCAGAGATACTGGTAGATCTGGGAGAAAATGTGTGTACATCAGGCTGCTCTTTCCAATGATAAGGTCACACATGATAAGCTTACTGTCACACAGTATTTCAGTCATGTTGTGACCGGTGAATGATTTGTTCATTGTTTAACGCCGCACTCAGCAATATTCCAGCTATATGATGGCGATCCGTAAATAATTGAGTCTGGACCAGACAGTCCAGTGATTGACATCATGAGCATCAATCTACGCAATTGGGATCGATGACATGCATCAACCAAGTCAGCTAGCCTGACCACCTGATTCAGTTAGTCACCTCTTTTGACAAGCATAGTTGCCTTTTAAAGCAAGCATGGGTTGCTGAAGACCTGTTCTACTCTAGATCATCACGGGTGACCAGTGAATGAAGACAGTGTATCAATCTTATTAGGATTAGGCTATGTTTGAGATGTTACAATATCCTACCAGAGTTTGAAAGGAAAGCATACCCTAGTGTTACTGTAGCAAAATTCAAGGATAAGCTTCTACCTCTTACAAACATACATTGTACTGACAACATTTCACAAAATAGTCATCTTTATGCCACACAACTGGCCAGAAAGGTGTAAATACATTCATTTACTGAGGTTACATCAATCTCATTAAAATCAAATCATGACAGTAGTGAGCATCTAACATCTGATTTTAATGAGATTAAGATCATATTTATACATGAATACCAGTACCTACATTTGTGCCATAATCAAAGACGGAAACTACATTTGATGTGTAAAGACGCAAGCAAACCCTGGATGACTGAAATTGTCAACTACAACCTTCACAGTGAACACTGTAACAAGAATCAATGGAAGCAGAGGCTACACATAAACATTCATGTAACTTCGGGCCCTATTATTCACTAAGAGCTTGGTAAGTTTAGGTAGAGCTGTTTGGGTTAAAATATGCTACTAAAAAGAGGTGAGGTGAGGTGAGGTGAGGTGAGGTGAGGTGAAAATGGATTTAACGTTGCGGCCAAGATTATTGCACTTATATAGCGACGTGCATGTACGTGTGTGTGTGGCTGCTTGTACTAGTCCAGACTGATGCCAATTTATAGTGCTAGCCCACTGAGATACCATGCCGCAGTTTAACATGAATACCCCACTCAGACACAGTATACTGATTCTGAGCCGACCAGTTCTTGTTTTAGCCCCTTAATGCCTAGTGCCAGACAGGGTAACAACAAGTACCATCTTTTAACGCCTTTTGGTATGACGTAACCAGGGATCGAACCCCTTACCTTCCGCTCCTTGGGCGGACGCTCTACAACTAGACCACGGTGGCGGTCCTACTGAAAAGAAGTTAAAGAACAAAGGTTTTTCCAATAATTATAGTTAGTCAGTCATGGCTGGTGGGTGCTGCAACACACCACCTTCTTATGGGGTGTTCTTTAACTTGTTTTGAGTAGTATACGGCCATGACATGATCTGTTTACCATCACTGACAAGAAGAGTTGTGAAATAGAAGCATTTTTATTATTATTATAAATAACTATTGTATATTATTGTAAAATTATCTTCGATCATGAAATGCATTCCATGATTGCCACATCAGTGTCAACATTGAAGAGAAAGCCACATCAGCAGCTTTGAAGATTCCCATAATACCTTGATAGCAATGAATGCATGCATAACAGATCTGTAATTTGACACCTAAAGCTCAACACCCCAATTCTGATTTTTTTCAGCTTTATGGAACATAAATGTTCATTACACAGCCAGAAGATACTGAGACAAGCTTGTGGAGGCCATTTATGTTTTCTTCTCCTCTCCTTCTTCCCGGAGCTTCTTCTGCCACTCCAAAGACTGTCTGGATATACTCTTGCCTTGCTTCGCTTCTCTCTTGCCCACATAGATCATCAGGAAACAGGCCATGATTGTCGCAACTCCCATTCCTAAGTTCACACGAATTCGGAGCCAATCTCTGGATTTCAGTATCTGAGAATGTCTGAAATTAACAGAAAGTATATTTTAATATTGAATATCATTATGTTTATTCTTAGAGTCATTGAGTATGGCTTTACACTGATTTTAGCAATAGCCCAGCAATATCACACCAGGGGACACCAGAAATGGCTTCACACATTGTACCTCTGTGGGCAATTGAACCGGGGCTTCGGGGTGACGAGCCACTACAAAAAATTCATGGTATGAAACATATTGTTCCCTTTCACATGTATGGCTCAATATAAATGATAGGGATTTTGTAAGCAAGTTAAATGTTAAAGCAACAACAGGTATGACTTACGATATTTCTTTAGGTACTGCCTCTACCGAGGGATAAACCTTCTGGAGAACGAGAATCTTCTTGTCGAAATTGGATGGGCGATGTGTTCTACCGACTGGTTCTGGCCGACCTGTAAAATAAAGCACTTGTGTTCCAACCTCAACCTTGCTACTGCCCTCGTCTTCGATCATCCAGTGTAAAATATATCTGTTCTGTTTTCATAAAAAACTAGACCCATTTACCACCATAGCTTTGTTTTGTGTCTGGGTGGAATAGCAAAATGCTTAAAATAGCCCTCCAATAAAATTACCCTGTTCATCACGATTAAAATAAGAGGCAACATCACCATATCTCTGGGAACTGGGAACTAGTGATTCGGACGATCGTTACTCTAGCTGCCGACTGACACACAATATCTGAAAAATGAAGGTTGTGCAAGAATTGTGGTTGCAGCAGCAGTTGTGCTACCTCTGACTTTGCAACTTATTGGAGAAGGAAAGTACCAAAATTTCTACCTCATAAAATTAATTGCAAATATAAGACTGGTTTGAAAAGCAGACTGTGCAAAATATTGTCCTTCGTTAATAGAAAACTTTCAAATGTTGCCACTTTTTTAATTTATTGTACACCATTCAATGTGAGCAAACCAAATACTGCCTTATATATCTTAATGACATGTCATTTAATGTTATTTGTGTTATGCCAAAATATGTTTGCCAAGTTTGTTTTTAAATATAAAATATATCAACTTGTCCTTGTCACTATATGGCTGAAATAATGCTGATGCATCGTTAAATTTAACTCACTCAATCACTAATGTATATTTGTATGATTGTGGACATAACGTAATACATTTGATTAGTAAAATAACTTGAGGTATAATTATATATATATAATATAATATATATGTATAATAATATAAGGCAGAATTATCTAATGGACTCATCCAGTGATAATGCATCTGGCAGCTTGGGCACATTGCTGTATAGAGAAAGGTACATTGTAGGGCTGGGCAACTCGGGTACTCGGGTACTCGGGTACTCGGGTCAGGTGGGTACTGAGTAGGACCTGCCTACCCATAGGACTACCCGGGCCCGGGGTTAGTCATGTGATACACTGTTTAATAACAAAAATGATCTTAAACTCTATGGTTACAAGTCACTAATGTTCTCCTTTCTTTCTGACTATACACCCATTCCTTCTGACCCATATAAGATAAAACTTCCGTCAACTGTAGTGTATGCATGACCAGATCATTTTATATGAGTATATAAATACATTTTGCCTGGGCTACGGTCAAACTTTTCCCAATCAGACAGTTTGTACCTATATCTTGAGACCTACATCAGGTACTGGGGTAGGGTTGCTTAATAGCAGGGTGGGTTCTTGGGTAGTAATTTGGGCCTACCTTTAGAATACAGTACCACAAACTTTTCAAACATGTGACAATACCCTATGACGTAATTTGTAGTATTTTGTTGCCAGTCACATCGGTGAAACAATGCCCTATGACATCAGGGGTCATCGAGTGCATAAGCTCCTCCCAGTGATCTATCATCTCCACACACAATGTCATTGAATACGCCCAGCGGTGTTGAGAGTTTTGAATATTTGTTTACTAAATATAGCCTGTGACGGCACATTTTATAGCAAGCTCTAGTTTACGAAAGCACTTTTATTTTTTTATATATTTTTTATTTCGTTTTTCTCGTAATTCAAGTGGCTAAAATGGTTATGAATGGGAACTATTATACATATATTTTTTTATCGGTTAATCAATTTTCATTATTATGCATAAGAATGAAGTTTTTTAGGGATATTAAACACATCCAAATGTCGCCAGTATTAGGTTAGGTTACCCCGAACTCTATCCTTAGCCCTTGGATCCCCTTTATGATCAATCACCCCATTATGATCATTAGGGTTAGGTACCCATTTTGAGGCTATAAAATTACCCGCACTCTATCCGTTGCCCTTTACGATCAATCACCCCTTTACGATCATTTGCGTTAGGTACCCGTTTAGTGGCCATTATTGATTCAATGGCGGCTCCTAATATTCTTCACACAAAAACGTCGAGTAAAAAGGATGAAATGGTTTTGTGTCGAATATTTAGGCGACTGGAAACTGTCCTGGAACATTCACACTCGCCACTTTCACCGGCTACATTTTTTCAGTACTGATTCAAAAGCGAACTCACCGTTGTGTCATCACTAGCCATGCTCATGCCTCCCTCGTTCCTCACTATTATCCATATCATCCTTACATTGTTCCCCACCACACTTTCCTGTCACAAACATCACCCGAAGAATTATTAAATAGGTGAGTTGAAATGGGGTTTATGTTGTGTCCAAGATTATTGCACTCATATAGGAACGTGCATGCATGATTTATAGTGCTAGCACACTGCGATACCATGCCACAGTTTTTAACATGAATACTCCACTCAGACACAGTATACTGACTCTGAGCTGACCAGTCCTTGTTTTAGCCCCATAATGCTGAGCGCCAGACAGGGTAACAACAAGTTCCATTTTGGTATGGGGCGGCCAGGGATCGACCCCGGACTGGACGGACGCTCTACCACTAGACCCCTGAGGTAGTCGAATTATTAAATACCATGTCATGTATGCGTACCCGCGAGTTCGACGTCTGACACCTGGAGCCGTTTTCAGTTTGCGCCATACCGGCTCATTCCTCACCACTCGGTATCTTGTAGATTATGGAATGGGACGAGTGTGCCAAATAGCATTGGGACTGAAGTCACTAAGTTTCACAGTGTGGATGTAGCTCAGTCGGGCTAACAATCTGAAGGTTGCGTGTTCGCGTCCGACAGATTCTCACATAAACTGGTTGCTTGTCTTTGAGACATGTGACCTACGGCAGAGATCGTCCTCACGAGAAGTTGTGGTATTGTATTCCAAAGGAGCTCCGTTAGTTCATATTTCATAGGGATAAGAGTTTATGTTTTAGCATTTATAAATTAGGACTGGATCTCATATTCTTGTAACATGAAAACTTGGTAACGTGCCAGACGGGCCATCGCTCGCGTTTCTTGATACTATTTGATAAAAAGGCATAAATACCAGTTGGTTTTGCATTCTCGCAAAAGGATCGGCCTTGATTTTGACAGATCGGGGACCTGTTCATCAATCCCTGACAGTTCAGCACAATCGATTTGTCTGTCGCTTTGTAACATCTTGAGCCGACCAGCTGTAGGAGATCGTACGCCCATCTTCTGTAGGGCGAGCAAAATGCCATCGGACTGGCGGTGGAGAGTAGCAGATCTTTCACAATGCGTCCAAGTTGCTTAGGTTGACCTCCAAACGTGATCACCACAGCTTCCGGGGAATCCCAAGTTCCTCCTTTTAAGAAACGAATATTTTGATTGGCTTTCAAATCGCAACATTTAGTAAAACACGATTGGATTGGATAATGTCTGAGAAAATCCCCTTTAGTCCGTATGTTCCAACACATCCTCATAGATTAAAAATTATAATGCTGTCGAGAAGAGGGTTCTCCACCATGCCGGTGCCAGGGATTGAATCTGATATGTGAAGGGCGGGAGAGTTTCTTTTATACTCTCACTGGTATGTGATCATGTTGTGATGTTTTTATTACGACAAAAGAACCCCGAATGTTTACTTTCAAATGAAACTGAAAGTTCAAATGGAAAATTTGGAAACTGTGTAGCTAATCTACATAGATTATTTATGAAGTGTGTGAGTGTTCGCAATTATGACAGCACTCAAGTATATTTCATAAAGTAAATTACTTGGCTAGTATCATATATAGAGGCCACATGTATTATTCATGGAATAATTTATTGATTCATTTCTAAATGTCATAGACGTTGTGAATGAATGGATATCTCTTTGCCGCCTGATAATCATTCTTATGTATGTATGTCAAAGCCTGTACTGTGTTCTTGTTACTTTTTTTAATTGTTTATATGGTAATTTATATACCAAAATACAGGAATGTACATGTATAATTATTCTGGTATTTGAATAATTACAAGAATTGCCATGACATGATATATTCATGAAATTCCCTGTCATGTCCAAGCCATTTCACATCATCAGTCAGTGCCAATATAATTGGTCTTGAAAGCCTGGGATGGGGTATTGGTTACACCAGATTGTCGGCCTATATGGTAGGCCTATATTGTAACTCATGATAAGCTGTTTTTAGCAGAGTATTGCATGTGTATTTATATGGTAATTTCAACAGCATTGTTTCAGAAATGGCAGAGGGGCGAGTTGGCGACACAATGGAGTCTGACAACAAAGACGAGACATTCACCTGCATCCTGTGTGGGAAGGCGGAGTTGTCGGAAGATGAGATGAAGTTCCATATTATGGTGGAACACATAGAAGAAAATGTCTGCTGCCCCTTCTGTGACCAGAACTGCCTCACTCCAGAAAAGCTTAACTGTCATATTAACGATGAACATATGGATCTCCTCAGTCCTGTGAATCGAGACTCTGATGAGTTTCCAGAGGCAAGTGGCACCAACGGAGAAATGGTCATAGATAAATCTGACACAGAGTTTGATAATATTGAAAGTTCAAAGGTTATCATCAACTATGTGAATGACAGTGACAGTTCAGAGCAGGGAAACCCTCATGAAGATGGAAGCAGAACTATTGTAAAACAAAACGAAAAGAACATAGAATCCAGTCAGATAAATTCACAAGATGATGTCACATCAAAAATTGATGTGAAACGTTCAAAGCTTTACTTAGATGTACCAAAGTCTTTCAATGGTGCTCAACAGCGCCGGAACAAGTCCTCAGCTGGTTCTGAGGACACACAGACTGGGCCAGTTGTCTCCCTTGCCACACCTGATCACACGTTTCACTGTCCAATCTGCAGTTATAGCACAAACTCGGAGGTGTTGATACAGCAGCATGTCAACCGCGACCACCGGGACATCCTAAGCCCGATGAAGGCACAGGAACATGCCATGTCGGAAGACAAATATGATATGTTGTATTCTTGTCCAATCTGTGGCATGAGTTTTGATACTCCACGCACACTAGAACTGCACATCAACTCCAAACATGTTGACATTTTGAGTCCAAATAGTTGTAACAAGCAGCAGCCAACAACACCAGGCGCCCAGTCAGCAAGTTCAGGAGAAAATGGTGACCTATTGTACTGCCCAGTGTGTGACCAGGAGTTTGGGGACACCCTCACTCTGTCTGCACATGTAGATGGCCATTTCTCAGCGGAGCAGACGCCAGGTAGGTGATCCCTGAAAGGTCGCCAGATGTGTTTCAAATTGACCATAGTACAATATCTGTGACTTTTTGACAGGTAAGGTATTTTTTTCTGAAAAAATAACCATCCAGAGCTCCACATAAGATGCATATTTGCTTAAAATATGCAAAATAAATCCCCATATCCCAATTAAATTTGAGATGCTTGCATACAAATATAACTGAGAAAAATACCAATAGTATAATAACACTGTGCACAATTACAAAATGTAGCTTATGTCCTTACAGATCTTTATGAAATATTGATCAAATGCAGGCATGACATAAACATGAACTCTACTCTGGTGGATAATGCACAAAAGTGCATTGATAATCATCAGTAGTTTGTCTATCACAGGAATGGCTGCATATTTACGCAGGAGGTGAAAATATTCTTCCATGACATTTAAGAATCCTGCATTCTTATTGATCATGCAGCAAGAAGTATTTTATTTATTTTTACCATGGATTTGTTGATGACTACACCATGTCTCCTGTATATTTTGTGTCTTTGTGAAACTGCTGTATGTCCTGTTGATGTGAAACTGCTGTATGTTCTGTTGATGTGAAACTTGTATGTTCTGTTGATGTGAAACGGTTGTAAGTTGTGTTGATGTGAAACTTGTATGTTCTGTTGATGTGAAACTTGTATGTCCTGTTGATGTGAAACTTGTATGTCCTGTTGATGTGAAACTTGTATGTTCTGTTGATGTGAACGGTTGTAAGTTGTGTTGATGTGAAACTGCTGTATGTTCTGTTGATGTGAAACTTGTATGTTCTGTTGATGTGAAACGGTTGTAAGTTGTGTTGATGTGAAACTTGTATGTTCTCTTGATGTGAAACTGCTGTTTTGTATTGATGTGAAACTGCTGTATGTTGTGTTGATGTGAAACTGTTGTAAGTTGTGTTAATGTGAAACTGTTGCATGTTCTGTTAATGTGAAACTGTTGCATGTTCTGTTAATGTGAAACTGCTGTATGTTCTGTTAATGTGAAACTGTTGCATGTTCTGTTAATGTGAAACTGTTGCATGTTCTGTTAATGTGAAACTGCTGTATGTTCTGTTAATGTGAAACTGTTACATGTTCTGTTAATGTGAAACTGCTGTATGTTCTGTTGATCAGAAACTGTTGCATGTTCTGTTAATGTGAAACTGTTGCATGTTCTGTTAATGTGAAACTGCTGTATGTTCTGTTAATGTGAAACTGTTACATGTTCTGTTAATGTGAAACTGCTGTATGTTCTGTTGATCAGAAACTGTTGCATGTCCTGTTAATGTGAAACTGTTGCATGTTCTGTTAATGTGAAACTGTTGCATGTTCTGTTAATGTGAAACTGTTGCATGTTCCGTTAATGTGAAGCTGCTGCATGTTCTGTTAATGTGAAACTGTTGCATGTTCTGTTAATGTGTTGTCAGTGTGTAACTTTACTGTATGTGCTGTCAGTGGCCGAGATGTCAGATGCTCTCCTTGCTGAAGAACTACAACGATGTGAGACTGCGTCAGTCAGTAGAGAGAAGAAAGACTTCCAGATGCTCCAGGTGAGAATCTCTCCTTCGATATCCTGTTACCATGGTTACTATAAATATATGCACAAACACTCAAAGATATCGTCACTAGTACATGATGGATAAATCATGTCAGTTAGTCTATAGTCTATGAATTTACCTTAGTATCTATTTGACACATCTTTATAATCACCTTTCAATGATCGGCCATCTGATCTGTAATGACTAACGCATTTAACTGTCACAGGTTCATTAACAACTTCGGAAATTTCTCCTGTCACGATTATCATGTCGGCCATTTTGACATCTTGTACTTGATGTAAATGTATTATGAACTATCATTGTGACTGACTTACTGAGGTAGTTCTTAACAGACCTTTCTCACCCAATGATGATATTATTTGAATACATTTCTTGTAAACAAACTACAACAGATCACGTCACCTCTCTTTTTGGGGAACTATTTCATTTGGCGATACAGGTGCTTGTTGTATGACTGTAAGTGTAAACATGAAGTCACACATATAGGGTGAGGGTCTCGCAAGCTCTGATGTTCCTACATTTTTGCCCCCACCCTGTGAAGGTTCATACTCCGATGAGCTCACACAAAGTGAAAGTCAGTTCTTAAATTGTATCGTTACTGATTCCTGCACTACTTATATCTGCTGCAGGCGATGTATGGCATGGATGAGAAGGCCAGCTACAAACAGCAGTATGAGAAGAGTCTGGAGCGAGCTGTGTGGAAGGGGGACCTCACCATCTCTGAGTTCTACCAGCAGAAGACTCGGTTACAAGCCAGTGACATGAACGGAGTGGACGATGGACATTCCTGTACCAGAGGTAGGCAGACACAAACTCAGTGGTGTGGAATGTGTTCTGTTGTCCATGGACATTCCTGTACCAGAGGTAGGCAGACACAAACTCAGTGGTGTGGAATGTGTTCTGTTGTCCATGGACATTCGTGTACCAGAGATAGGCAGACACAAACAGTAGTGTGGAATGTGTTCTGTTGTCCATGGACATTCCTGTACCAGAGGTAGGCAGACACAAACTCATTGGTGTGGAATGTATTCTGTTGTCCATGGACATTCCTGTACCAGAGAGGCAGACACAAACACAGTGGTGTGGAATGTGTTCTGTTGTCTATGGACATTCCTGTACCAGAGGTAGGCAGACACAAACTCATTGGTGTGGAATGTATTCTGTTGTCCATGGACATTCCTGTACCAGAGAGGCAGACACAAACACAGTGGTGTGGAATGTGTTCTGTTGTCCATGGACATTCCTGTACCAGAGGTAGGCAGACACAAACTCAGTGGTGTGGAATGTGTTCTGTTGTCCATGGACATTCCTGTACCAGAGGTAGGGAGACACAAACTCATTGGTGTGGAATGTGTTCTGTTGTCCATGGACATACCTGTACCAGAGGTAGGCAGACACAAACTCAGTGGTGTGGAATGTGTTCTGTTGTCCATGGACATTCCTGTACCAGAGGTAGGCAGACACAAACTCAGTGGTGTGGAATGTGTTCTGTTGTCCATGGACATACCTGTACCAGAGGTAGGCAGACACAAACACAGTGGTGTGGAATGTGTTCTGTTGTCCATGGACATTCCTGTACCAGAGGTAGGCAGACACAAACTCAGTGGTGTGGAATGTGTTCTGTTGTCCATGGACATTCCTGTACCAGAGGTAGGGAGACACAAACTCAGTGGTGTGGAATGTGTTCTGTTGTCCATGGACATACCTGTACCAGAGGTAGGCAGACACAAACTCATTGGTGTGGAATGTGTTCTGTTGTCCATGGACATTCCTGTACCAGAGGTAGGCAGACACAAACTCAGTGGTGTGGAATGTGTTCTGTTGTCCATGGACATACCTGTACCAGAGGTAGGCAGACACAAACACAGTGGTGTGGAATGTGTTCTGTTGTCCATGGACATTCCTGTACCAGAGGTAGGCAGACACAAACTCAGTGGTGTGGAATGTGTTCTGTTGTCCATGGACATTCCTGTACCAGAGGTAGGGAGACACAAACTCAGTGGTGTGGAATGTGTTCTGTTGTCCATGGACATACCTGTACCAGAGGTAGGCAGACACAAACTCAGTGGTGTGGAATGTGTTCTGTTGTCCATGGACATACCTGTACCAGAGGTAGGCAGACACAAACTCAGTGGTGTGGAATGTGTTCTGTTGTCCATGGACAAGAAGCCTTAAGTTTGTCTCAAGACAAAGACCCGTGTGGGGATTTCTTGGCAGAAAAGGCTTTCATAATTAAATATTTCCACTCGTCTGCTTGCCCCAAATTTGATTATTTATACTCTCTGCCTTAATCTGTCATAAATAGTGGTCACTTGGCTGTCGAAATTATTTTTTGAGATTGAGATTGAGAATAATTTATTATTCCAGGCATAATCCCTCACCTCCAGCAATTCTACAGGAAGTGCCCCGGTTTTGTCAATCAGGCCTGGCTGTGCTCTGCTGTCGACCATTACAGTGGTTCCTATGGCGACAAGGGCTGGGGCTGTGGCTACCGGAATCTACAGATGCTGTTATCTTCACTTTCATCAGATCCAAACTTTTGTAAAGTTCTCTTCAATGGTGAGTGAAGAAATGTAATAAGATAATTGGCATAAAGTTTGGCAAAAGGCATTTTATATGTGAACATGTAGAGTTCGTTCAAAGCACCATTGTGGCATTTAGACCTGTAGGTTTAAGGTGACGGATAATGATTGGTGATGGCCATGCAGAATGTCTCCCAAAATTGATCACAGAATTCCAATAACATTTTAAACATGGCTGCCATGGGAGCTGTATTGAAAACGTTATATAGAAATATATCTACATGCCCCTCAAAGTACAAAGATTATGGAGCTGACACTTTGTATTAATGTTCACAGTTATGGTGTCTCTAAATTTTGCTGACTGCCTCTGTTGTCTAGTGTCCGCCTAGAGAGCGGAAGGTCTGGGTTTCGATCCCAGGCCGCGTCATACCAAAAGTCGTTAAAAGGTAGTACTTGTTGTTACCCTGTCTGGAGCTCGGCATGAAGGGCCTGAAACAAGAAGTGGTTGGCTTGGAGTCTGTGTACTGTGTCTGAGTGGGGTATTCATGTTAAACTGCAGTATATTATCTCAGTGGGCTAGCACTGTAAAGTGGCATCCGTCGCTATGTAAGTGCAATAATCTTGGATGCAATGTTCAACCTCATTTCACTTCACCTCTAATGTTTCTAATTTCTATCCAATTTTAAACATGGACACCATTATTTCTTTATAATTCAGGTGAGCTTATACTTTGTTGCTTTTAAACTCAGTCAGTCGAAAATTTAAAGAAAGCGTTGCCTTACATGTTTACCACAAAATGATGGTGACATTGGCCATGTGTCATCAGGTCGCCCACTAATCCCGTCCATCCCAAAGATCCAACGTCTGATTGAGGCCGCCTGGGAGAAGGGTTTTGACAAGCAGGGCTGCGAGCAGCTCGGGGGGCGTGTTGCCAACACCAGGAAGTGGATCGGCGCCACAGAGATCGTGGCCACTCTGTCTTCCCTCAAGATGAAGTCAGTTCCTGCCTTGTGTTACTACTATATATTCTAGCTACTGTTGAAACAAAGTAGGGGATATACGGCATGAAATTATGAGAGATTAGTGTGGGTTTACAAATTATTGATGAACAAGTGAGCCTTGGCTTACAAGATACCAAATAGACTGGACAAAATTAAAGCAAATTTTAAAAAAATGGTTTCAGCAGTATTAAATTCTGTACTTAGAGAAAAGAAGTATGATATCTGAGGATAGCCAATGGTGATTGACTTGTGAAAGATAAATGTTTATTCAAAAATGAAATATCCTCATATTTACCTATAATGATCTCCTGTAGGAACAAAAGCCAAAGTAAGAGATGTTCCGGCTTGTGTTTTGATATTCCGTGTTGTTTGTTGACATGTTGATACCACCTCAGTGCCACCTCAATAGGATATGCTCACAGATAAACTAGCTTTGATGAGTAAACATCTTTTATTTCCAGATGTCAGTTGATCGACTTCCATTCCCCATCTGGCCCTGATGGGACTCACCCAAAGCTGTTCCAGTGGGTGAAGGAATACTTTAGCCGTCCCGGCGCCTTTAAGCCCCCACTCTATCTCCAGCACCAAGGTCAGCCTCAGGACCTTTATAGCATTGTTATGTCTCAATTAAGAATCTTTGAAGTTCCAGATTTGACCTGATTATGATCCTTGCTTTGTCAGTCCCAGATGACTTCTGCAATTCCGCAATCATGGAAAGATTTACAGAAGATGTGACTTATCGCAAAATTTCAGAAATATCACAGAATTTGCCTTTTTTATCATTAACTTTTCTAACAAAATTTTTACTCGAATGATGGTCAGACATACATGTATAAAATATAAATCCAATAATAAAATTAAATTTGAAATGAATAAATCTCACTTTTAAGCGTTCTTGTGCTATTATAACGACATAAAGTTGTTAAACCGACCTGTCTAAATGAAAGAGATTACAATTTGTAAAGAAGAAAAGTGAGTTTGTATTAATTTTTTGGGGAAAAGTGGTTATGTTTTTACCACATACATTTGGTAATGTCACAGCAGAATTTTGGTAATTTTACCGTAGAATTTTGATAATTTTACCGCAGAATTCATCTTGGACTGGCCATGACTTTGCTCAGGGGAATCACCAAGTTGTAAATGTTGATGGTCCTCCTTCCTTCCTAAAGCTGACATGCTGTGAAGTATTTGTTTGTTTTTTGTATAACGCCGCAATCAGCAATATTCCAGCTGTATGATGCAGTCTGTAAATAATCGAGTCTGGACCAGACAATCCAGTGATTGACATCGTGAGCATTGCGCTACGCAATTGGGATACGATGACATGCATCATCCAAATCAGCGAGCCTGACCACCTGAACCCGTTAGTCGCCTCTTACGAAAAGCATAGTCGCCTTTTACGGCAAGCATGGGTTGCTTAAGACCTATTCTAGCCCCGGATCTTCAAGGGCTGTGAAGTAACTGTAATATTATTCAAAGTGGTATTACCCAATTGGTGTCTTTTATCCACTCTTGACCTCTGCCACTAATTGAGCAATGTTTTCAGGTCACAGTCGGACAATCGTAGGCTATGAGGAAATGCGAGACAAAACTGGGCGTCTACTTATATTTGATCCCAGCACTCCCAAAAAGCAGATGATTCAGTTCACTGGCTTCATCAACGGAAACATGATGAGAACTTTACGTCGCAACATCAACGGACTCCGAGCCAAGCAGTACCAACTCGTAGCTGTAGTAGCTGTGTTGTCTGACAAGGAGTATGAGGTGGGTGTGTCAGGCTAGAGTAGCCATGAGTCAGGCTAGAGTAAGGGTGTATCAGGCTAGAGTAGCCATGAGTCAGGCTAGAGTAAGGGTGTGTCAGGCTAGAGTAGGGGTGTGTCAGGGTAGAGTAGGGGTGTATCAGGCTAGAGTAGCCATGAGTCAGGCTAGAGTAAGGGTGTGTCAGGCTAGAGTAGGGATGTGTCAGGGTAGAGTAGGGTGTGTCAGGGTAGAGTAGGGGTGTGTCAGGCTAGAGTAGGGGTGATTCAGGGTAGAGTAGGGGTGTGTCAGGGTAGAGTAGGGGTGTGTCAGGGTAGAGTAGGGTGTGTCAGGTTAGAGTAAGGGTGTGTCAGGATAGAGTAGGGTGTGTCAGGGTAGAGTAGGGTGTGTCAGGGTAGAGTAGGGTGTGTCAGGCTAGAGTAGGGGTGTGTCAGGGTAGAGTAGGGTGTGTCAGGGTAGAGTATGTGTGTGTCAGGCTAGAGTATGTGTGTGTCAGGCTAGAGTAGGGGGGTGTCAGGGTAGAGTATGTGTGTGTCAGGCTAGAGTATGTGTGTGTCAGGCTAGAGTATGTGTGTGTCAGGCTAGAGTAGGGTGTGTCAGGCTAGAGTAGGGGTGTGTCAGGCTAGAGTAGGCATGAATCAGGGTAGAGGAGGGGTGTGTCAGGCTAGAGTATGTGTGTGTCAGGCTAGAGTATATGTGTGTCAGGCTAGAGTAGGCATGAATCAGGCTAGAGTAGGGGTGTGTCAGGGTAGAGTAGGGGTGTGTCAGGCTAGAGTAGGGGTGTGTCAGGATAAGTATGTGTGTGTCAGGCTAGAGTAGGCATGAATCAGGCTAGAGTAGGGGTGTGTCATGGTAGAGTAGGGGTGTGTCAGGCTAGAGTAGGGGTGTGTCAGGGTAGAGTAAGGGTGTGTCAGGCTAGATTAGGGGTGTGTCAGGGTAGAGTAGGGTGTGTCAGGCTAGAGTAGGCATGAATCAGGCTAGAGTAGGGGTGTGTCAGGCTAGAGTAGGGTGGGGCAGGTCAGTGTAGCTGTTGGACTGAGTAGAGCAAGGGGATTGTGCCCTATTTTATATGAATTTCTAACTAAATGACAATCTGACAGTTTTCTTTTGTCGATGACCTAAGCACAATATGTAGGTTTGCAGCTTTTCAGATTTGTTTTCACTTTTCATTTATTCAGATTTGGCAGATGAGTTAACAAATTGTTTTTGAAAGAGTAGTAACTACATCTTATCTAACATCTTAGAAATCTATCCTTGCCCCTTTGACTTAAACATGATTTGCCATTGTGTTAGAGAAGTAAAAAATAAACTAACACAGTGGAAAAATGTTAATCTATTCTCGCATCTGTAGACAACATAAGAAACTGGCTTTGCACAGGACGAAGGTACAACCAGCTGACCCTGCAAATAAATTCTTTATGTTTCAGGAGAGTAAAGTAATGAAGTCGGAGCGAATTAGTTGAGAGTTATCTCCCTTAGAGGCACTTCACACGTATAATATTTAGCAGAAGTCAACTGCTGCCTCCTGTCTATGCACAAGATGTCTGAGAGTGTGAGAATATCCATCTGTCATCATCCACGTTGGTCATAGGGACATGTTCCTGCATTAGTCAAACAGCCTGGCTTCACAGTATTCTTAGATATCTGACACTCAAACAGTTGAGGCTGTCAGGCAGAATCAGTCCATCAAAGTTATTTCCTGAGAAACTAGGGTAGGTGTAAATGGCAGGCCACTCAAGTCTGATTCAAGTCGTTGAAACACCAGTTTGGTTATTGAACTCAAACTTGATGTATACTACTCAAAAGAAGTTAAAGAACAAAGGGAGTCTGTCATGCCATGACAGATTCACTATAGTAACATGAAAAAGTCTGGTGTTCTTTAACTTCTTTTGAGTAATATATATCAATCTTGCTGTACCAAGTAAATGATTATGAGATAAGGCCTAAAGAAAAAATAGTCTTGGTTCTCAGGCACCGCCTGCATCATCATTAAGTTCGCTGCACATTTTGTTTTTATTTCCAGTTTTGACAAAATTCGAAAAATTCTAATTCTTAAAAACGGTGTGATTCAATAACGCATGCAGTTACTTCCCTTTACGTGTGCACTGCTTTACTGCACATCTCGTGTTATAGTCCTGGCGGCAATAGGAGTTTGTATGCTTCTTCATGTAGGGAGGCCCTTTCCAAGGTTGATGGTACAAAACTGTTTATTTGGTTACATACTAAAAATAACACTGCCTGCCTGCCCTATATTTTCAAAAGTCATTGCCTGAGAACCAATTCTTTTATTTTTGTTAAGCCTAATGTCTAAGCCTAGACCAAGACTGAAAATTGGCTCTAGACCTTGGGGTCCCTCAGTAACATTACATTATAACTTAGGCCAGAACAGTGTTTTTCTTGTCTGGTAGATGAGTCTGTCCTGTGGTTGTTGATAGTTTCAAACTTCCCTTCTATTTTAATTTGAAACAAACTTGTCTTGGCATATATTGAAAATAGCATCCTGAATTCATAGTTTATAAACTTAACATTCACCTTTTTCAATGATGTAATTGAAGTGACAAGTTCAAAAGTTTCATGTTGGATATAAATCTTAATTCCTCAAGTTTAGGGGGATGTCTCAAAACTTAAGAATTTCAATTTGTAATCCTACATTGAACTTTTGAACTGGTCCTTGAGCTTGACAGCATTCATATTTGTTAGTTTAATGGCACAAAAGGGCTTGCCTGGTATTATGGTATTTTTTGTGAAATAATGTGTAATATAAGAATTAAGGTTTAAAATTGAAAATGTGTAAATATGTCACTTTATGTGTAAAAGGTTGTAAATGTTATAAGTGTCATAGTGAATATTGAACATGAAGGTGGAGTGGATTTATTCCAGTGTGCAATAAGGTATGCTTACAAAAACCATGAAACACATTATGGCCTCTCGGGCAGTGAGCACTCCAACTACACATCTGTTTTTGAAACCGTGTTTCTGCTGTGACGTAGTGTACTTTTGTACACTAACAAAACAAAAGGCTTCTTGCACCAAGTTTTCAGCAGTCATTCCCCGAGAGGCAATTGTTTTTATGTTTTTATCTTAATACAGTTGTATTAAGCTGTACAAATGTGCCATAGTGTAGCATAAGAGTATTTATATGTCCATTTTCCACTGATATATTGTCAGTCTATACAGTTCATTGACCGATACAGCTTGTCAACCATTTCTTGTGCCTGTCTGTGTCATTGATAAGCAGTCATCATCATCATCATCATCATCATCATCATACATCACCAGACATCTTCCCCAGGCAAGGGAGTTTAGTGACTATAAAAGCCCAGTTTCCACCCTTGCCGAACTAGGCTGGCATTATAGAGTTATATATTGGCTGGACTAATGAGTCTATGCAAAGTCCAATCAAAATCGTGTAACGAAATTGACATTTGGTTCGAAACTGCCATACAGAATTTGCATAGCACCACCAACTTACTGTCAACAGATATTTTCCAACTCATTTCATGTTTTCGATCAAGGTGCTCACGTGATTTGATGCACTTTGTGAAGAAAGACCCGTTTTATTACAATAGATATTTTGATTATCGATCAAATCGTCTTGTCTGGGCGCCGCCATTTTGTTTGAAGCAAGTGTAAGTGATGTGAGAGGTGGAATCTGATTGGTCAATAGGAGGGACATAGGAGGGATAACTCGTAATAGCCACTGGTGGTGCTACGATAGAGCCCAGAAATTCAAGCCTAGTTCGGCAAGGATGGAAACTGGACTTTTACAGTCAGTTAACTCCTTTGCCTTGGGAAGATGATCACCAGTTCGTACTGCAGTATGTTTAATGCCAGTTGCAAACTACAACCAAAACTTGGCGGCATGGTGGCCTACTTGTCCCAGGCGCCACAATTCCTAGAGAAGAGTGTCCTCCCTTGTTATTGCACCTTTGTTTCACAGCATTGCTCCAAGCTTATGGGTTTTCCTCAAGTCGTTAATGCCTACAGCAAGCATGACATTGGACTTATTTCCCACAGTAAGCTGACACGCCATGATAGAACTACAACACTGCTAGAAGCAGAGTAAGGCTGTAATATTCAATACAGGTGCACCGTGTCATAGGCCAATAGGACAGTGTTGTTTGTATACTCACCACCAACAGAAACGTGAATACTATATATGTTGATTAATATGGGAAGAATTATTCATATTCAAGAAATATTAGATTGGTTTGATGCACAATCGAACATGCTGTCATGTTGTGTGAACCGATGCTTATGAACGCATCACATGTGACATCACAGACCCATGACTTGAGATGCACCATTTGTTCATGCAAGATGAGCGTTTGGACGTCACATGCAGCATATCGTGATAAGAATAAAGTCACTCTGTGGTAACACTTGACTGATTGTTAGTTTTGCCATCATTAGTACACATTGGAAACTCTCTTTTTAACGTACATACTTCTCAACATGTTGCTATGGTTCCCGTTTCTTTTGGCGGTGAGTATATATTGTCAGGTTTCATGAGACACTTTGTGTAGATATAAGTTCATGTTCTGTTTAGAAGGAGTTCTTGTGGATACAATACACAAGGAATAGAAGGTTCAGAATTATCATTTTGTGGATGACATTCCAACATTGCTATCAATAGTACTGTATGATGACATTGTATGATTACAGCCCTAGTGAAGGTTTCATTTTGAAAATGAAGTCATCTTTTTACAGGGTTAGACTACTTACGAATTTAACCTGGAACTATCCAGTGGCATAAATGGCACATCTTATATATCAGGGCCTCATTCCACAAAGTGATCTTAGCGCTATGATGATCTTAAGCTTGTGCTAAAGTATGGGAGTTGCGATCACCTTAGGGCTAAGATCACTTTGTGGAACAGGCCCCAGGGTTGGGTGGGGTGTGATATTATCTGATGAGATTTTGCTTTGTTTTCACATGTAACTGTTTTTTCTTGGTTTGTGTACAACTTATCTGAAGTGAATGTTCCTGTAAGGCAACCCTGGTATGGATATGCCTTTAGTTTTCATAGTATATTTTCACAACATTATTTGTATTTGCATGTTTTTTGGCAAGACAATTTTTATTACAATATATCATCTATTCCTTATATGCTTCAAGGTCTATGTGCACAAAGTGACCGTAGCACAGGTCTGCAGGGTGGAGTCGGGGAGGGGGGAACGTTACAGATCCACAGACATGAAAAATAGCACAAGGGAAATATAATCAAAGGTCTAATATTTTTTTAAATACCAGCGACTCTTAATGTTATTATAAAAATAGTTAACATGAAATATCACTCAAATTATATTTCGTGTTGAAAACAGGGGCATTAATTCGTGTTCTTTTGAAGACCATTTTCCATGTTATTTTTTCCGACTATAATCGTTGTACACTACATTTTCTGCAGCTTTAGTTCTGAGGTCACTTATAGCCACTGGATCCTCAACTGAAATAATAAAACGAAGCATAATCCTGACAAAAGACAACATTTTGCATACACACACACTGTCATGTCAGAGCTTCCCCATCACTGAACATTGGAGTGCTGTGTAAACATTCCATTTCTCCTGGGTTGGATCAACCTGACCTGTTACCTGTTAAAATCTACTTTGTTTCCTATTTAGGTCACACATTATTTATTTTTGTTTCACAATCCCCTAATCCCAACTGAAAAGCATTCCGAAAAGACAAAAGATTATACATAAAAAGATTTAGTTTTATTATGTCTCCAGCTAATAATATAGCCCTCACTAAATAATGTTGTATATAAATTCCATGTCTACATCGCTATCCGTAATTCAAGAAGCCAGCTGCTGTTTTAACTCCACGGCAGAATGATTTTCATATAAATATATAATAATATATAATATGATTGATGTAGCTATGTATTATTATTTTTATTTTGACCAACCTTGTGTGGAAAAGCTGGATTATATCTGTGAAACATAAAATTTAAAAAGTGTGGCCTCAAGGTATATAAATAAGTGTAAAAAAGTCGAAAGGGAAATCTTAAGAAGTCTTTAATTTAAGCCATAACAGTTGTTTTGTGGAGATGAGGATAGTGGTCCTACCAGTAGTATGTACACAGGTGATTGGTGCGTGCGTGCGTGATTTGACTTAGTAGCTAGACTATTATAGGCTGCTGGAAACAGGATCTTTATTTGCTGTTCAATTTTTGATGGGAATATTCTGATAATTTTCATGGTTATAAACTCAGAAAAGAGGTTTTGGAAATTTGTTTATTCTACCTTATTTTAGCTTAAGTTGTAACTGTGTCAGCTCCATAGCAATATTGACAACAGTTGCTTACATTCTGTGGCCAGCTTGCCAATCATAATATCCCTATCATAGGCTCAGTAGCTTATTTGTATCTCTCTCTACCTCACAATTGTGAAATAAAATCAGGTCCATAAAACCGTTAATGTTTAACCCATTGCATTGAGTTTAAAATCTTTGATTAGGTGATATTAATCCTCTTTTCAGGTAAGAATTGACTGTAATTGTAAATCTGCTCAGTGCGCACATCGGTTTTAACATTTATATCTCCATAAACCCAAAAATATATTGAAATACATTGTTATAAACACATCAACAATAATAACTGCTCATTTAATGATTAACACACAAAAATTGTAGACAATATGAATCTGTGACATCATTCAGCCCAATAATTCAACACAAGCCTCACCCATTCTATTATCAGCTAATCAGGAAGCAGTAGGGGGCGTGGCCTATCTTGTGCGTTGGTTTACAGAAACTTAAATGCAAAGAAATTTGCTTGGTTAGCCAATCAAATGCCATGGATTCATTTGCAGGTTATTTACATATTTGGGGGGGCACGGGTGGCCCAATCGTCTAAGGCGCCGCGATTCGCTGTGCAGAGTTGCGTCCCTTTGGCACGCCAGAAACCTATGATTGTGGCTTCGAATCCAGGTTCGCCCCGATTATGTTTCTAGGTTTGTCAGCACCATACCCGTGTTCGTGGGTTTCACCGAAGTGGTAAACGTCTGAGACCTGCATCACTTCGGGCTTTCCTCCCACATTAAGCTGACACGCCGTGATATAACTGGAAAACTGTTAGAAGCGGCGTAAAACCCAATTCACTCACTCACTCACTCAGGTATATGATCAGACATTTACAGGTATTGATGTCACAATGTACTTAATCAATGATTACCTGGGTTCACAAGTTTGAGTTTGGTTGAGTCGTGGAATGTGATGTCACCAGACAACTCAGTGAAGTCTGCTTGATATGGTTAGATATGTCTACTATAAGTTGACAAGCAGGGCCTGGAGTGTCTGACTAGACTAGATGTATTGATGACTGGTCGTTGTGTGTCTGGGATAGACGACATGTACTTAACATTTACACTTCTAACAAGTTTGAAATTGGGTTATTCCAAACTCGGGGGGCACGTGTGGCCCAGTCGTCTAAGGCGCCGCAATTTGATGTGCAGAGTTGCGTCCCTTGGGCACACCAGAAACCTATGACTTGGGTTCTAATCCCGG